ATCGCTTGATGACGTCAATATGTGGTGGGGATAACTTCGCGACAACTTCTCAGGCAATACTGTACCAAGGGCTGATTTGCACCAAACGTTCTAGTTTGTTTCAAGAGATAAATTATTTTTATCGTAAACGATACTGGCTGGGTGGAATCTTTGTTACAAACGTTACAACGAAAGACGATAAGTGAAGGAACTACGATGGCGGCGAATCGCGACGCCTTCGACAGCCTTCGCGATTTCCGATCGATGTTTCTTTATACTCGCACCGTCAATTAACCGATCTTTCGTTCGAAAAAAAGCCTTCGTATAATTGTTTATTTGTACTTCGTGTATTGTGCGATCTGTAACGATACTCCTCGCGTGTATCGAGCCTAAAATAAAGGGTCTTCGAGAACAAACTCTCGACTTTCAGGACTAGATCCGATGAAACTAGCGTTGGCGATGTCTAGCGACGTCGTCGTTAACAGTACTAGACACTACTAACAGATGGATGCAAAGGATATAGTAATTAATCACCGTGTGAACACTAGAATAATATTGTTATCGTACCTAGCATTTAACCGTGGAACAGAGAAGCGAATGTGCGCGCGTTTGTGACAGACTGATTTATTTGGACGTCTTAACCTCTTTAGGGGCGTGTTATATTTTATTTAGAATTAGCAAAAATACGAACTGATATTTATCCACGTATATTTATGCCAATCTTGCCGCGTTATATTGTTGGACAGTTTAATTGCGAACGAGCATTCGTCGCGAGTCCTACCAAGCATTTTATTATCGAATAATTTTTTATAGAATTTCTCCCATCTTCATAATTAATATAATTATTGTTTTTTTTTAAATAAATTAGTTGAGGAACAGTTTTAACAGTATTACTTATAGATTATAAATTACGTGTTTCATAGTGGTCTAGTGCCTAGTGATTTATCGTGGGGGAAAACAATAGTGACCTTATTAATTCTTCAACGGTGTAAAAAAGTACTAAAACGTTTTAAAAATACATTATTTATATTGTACGTATAATTCTGTATAGTTGTTTAGACACTATTTTACAATTAGCGAAGTTCTATTTTCCTATTTAAATATAGATAACGAAATTACAATAATACATTGCTTGTTAAGAGTTACGATGAACATTTGCTTGCCTTAAAATTAAGCATGTAACGTTCGGTTGAATACGAAAATATTAATTCCTAATTTTAGTGGTTTACTTCCATGTTGCAGTATTTAAAGTAACTAGAAAACGAAGCGTACACATGTGTGCCAGTATCCTCGAAGAGGTTAAGTACTCGATAATTGTAACCTAGCGTGTAATCTTTACTTTCCTAAGGAACCGTGATACGTTTAAACGTGAATCGTTTTCTCGTTTATTGCATTCGAATATTTCATTTCTCTCGATACATTCGACGATCGTTCTCGTAATCGATTCCGTTTCTTCCGGGTCTTTGTTTGCGCAATAGAGAGAGGAAGAGAAAAGAAAATAGCGCGAAACCGTGACCGACGAAGGGAAACCACGTGACCCCGTGACGCATCCTTTCACGCCACGGATTATTATACATGCTTCCATCTAAGAGCCTTAACTATAGCGAAGTTCTAGTTGACAAAGCTTTACACACACCGTGTAGCGCGAAGCATAAGCGTGATCTTCATGTACACGAAACGATGCACGTAATTGTCGGCGAAAGGATTTGACGGTGGTACGGATAGGCGAACGAAAACGAGCAGGAGTATGTAATAAGTCGATCTTCGACGGAAACCGCGACTAGCGCCACGATTATTTTCGCGAGTTGTCGGAACGACGACGGTGGCCAGTCGCGGTCGAACTAAGTAACCCGATGCGACATCAATGGTGAACCCTTGGATAAACGGACACGGATATATAATAACATCGACGAAAAATCCACAGTCTCGCGAGATTACGCAGCTTCCTGGATAGTTTTTAATAGCGCGTAGCGTCTTCGTGATAATTTTTATACCCGTTATCACTGATTTTTATAGAAATTTTTTTCTACGTCCGACGAAGAACGGAGGAGGCGCTCGTTGTATTCTTCGCCGATCGAATGGTTAATTCATCCGCCGTGTATTGTTGTACAAAATTTGCCCGTATCGGAGCAAGGGGGCGCATTGAAGGGGTTACTTAGCGTATTTCTTTCGGATTGTGCACCTCACGCGACTCACACACGTTGTAAATCGCGCGGGTACAGCGCGCGCGATATACACACACCGTTTTCCTGCAATATAAATGTGTATATAGGGAATAACATGTTATAGATTATAAATATATATATATACATCTATATATATATATATATCTATATATAAAAGAATGAGAAATCGAGAGAAAGCCTGTAGATGCCCGATGACCGGAAACGCATTTCCGCTGGGGAGTTCGCTGAAACTAGTGGGACGGGTTCTGTTATCTATATCCGTTGTCTCTGAATACTTTTTTGTTTCATCTTCTTCTTTCTCTTCTTCTTTTTCTTCGTTTGTTCCAGAAATTTAGAGAATATTTTTTCCTCCGTTAGACAATTGTTTCTCCAAAATGTATTTGTTCGTGGCCATTATTTACTTTGTTTATTGTTATTAAATTTGTCAAGTTCCAAACAAAAACCTAAAGTTAAGGTCTAAATATAATATCACATATCGAGCTATAGAAAATCTAAATAAATACAATTTGGAAAAACATTTTTGTACATTCTCGAGACTATATATTTACTCGTTAATTATTAACGCCTCTTAATTTTTGTGAAAGTTTTGCGTGTGATAATGGTTTGTTTTCGTTCGTCGAGAATGTGGGAAATCAAGGTTTCCCCAAACGCTGAAATGCGTATTCGCGTTCTTGATTTTTCTTTGATCGATCCCCCCCTCAGTGCTGGCGTTTAATATTTCCTCCTAACGCATCCAGGATTTTACTTGTGAAGTAATACTAATAAAACTCATTATATTTATGTGCACTGAAAAAAGACGTTCGAGATTCGCGGAATTCAAGCCGGATTCGCTTGGGAGTTTAACCTTTTATCTGCTCGAGCTAAAGGAAACATTTAACGTATAAACAATTTCAGCTTTTAACGATAATTCGATAAGATTTTTTACTTTCATTTAATTTTTCCGTACGTTCGTGAGAGTAATGATTGCAAAATAAATAGAGAAATTAATTCAACAGCGAACGAAAAGGTTAACGAGCGAAGTTCGAGCGTCTTTATATATGTACGATCATTTTTGCATGCGTTTTCGCTACTGCTTGAGCATGCTGTGCAAATCTGTTGACTTTCCTTGGCAGATCATCATACCATCCGTGTTGCTTTAATTGTATTGTTTATTCGTTTATATAAGTGTATCTATTTATGTATCTCACATCACACATTTATATCATACATCGTTTCTATTATTATTTGTGTCGATCATTTGCTCGTATTTCACGTTCTAACGCGTACTTGACAATGTTACTATCTTTTCATTATCAGTTTTACATCATAGAAAAGATATTCCATTTTATGCGAATTCATTAGCACATCATTACTTAGTATAGTAAATAGTATATCTGGGCGTCCGGTTAAATTCGTGCGATTTACTTTTTATCAGTCACTTCGTGCAAGTTACGATTAATCGAATTCTCGTAATTGTTTTAAACATCGAAGAAAAATTTAACTGGATGTCTGACAATCATATTTTTATTTAGCCCTTCGAATACGAAATGTGACGATTATGGTCGGGTAATCTTTTCCTGGCATTATTTGGGTCACCTAATTAATTAGTTTATCTTCGGAGATAGAAAAATACATTTCTATCTCCGAGTGAAAGTTTCAAGGTCACCGACTTGTTTTCATACGAAATAACATATTTTCTTGTTTATCTTTTAATAATGGCTTTTATGAAGAGTCGATGACCCGTGAGTTCAAGGTCACACGGGTTGAATCGCGACGCAAAATTATTAAATTCCACAAACATTTTGATAATTTGCGTGAAATATAAAATGCCATCAAACTTAATATTTGCATTAAGTATATGTACGTATTTTTCTTCGTAATTAAACTTCAGTGACCTTACATCGGCGAAGGTCAACTCTGCAGATACGCTTATACATACATTGGATGATATTTACATATCAAATGAAGTTCTTAATTGCAGTTTTATTTAATACGTTCGCTACCACCAATAAGTTGAAAACCATCCGCTGCAGGTCGCACTATATCAGTAGAACTGTTATTTAATGTAGTGCATGCTTGCGACTATAAACAAATTGAATTGTATTTCAATTGGGTCGACTGAACATTCTAAAAGATGCGTTATAGTCGATGCAGTAATTCCTGCTTTCAAAAAAAAGTTTTACCGCGAATTCTAGTGACGTAATCGTAGCCACCATTGTTTATGTTTACTCAGCGCGAACGACCTTCGCTCAGTCGACTCGGAATATCATCACTGGACTGGTCTGATGTTTTTGATCAGTTAGGCTAAACATGACCTCATTTCGACTAAGTAGTTTTAATAATAAAAATCATAGGTGTTTACAAACAAAAATTAGTGTATGTAAATCTCTTACAATTTTTCAAAGAATTCGACATAATGTTTTGGATCTATTTCGCTTAAAAATAACTGTAAATATTCCCTAAATTCATCCTTAAAAATATAAAAATCTCCGAAGGTATTGTAGGTTCCCTTTGTGATGATCATCTCATCCCACGTATTGTGCAAGGAGCGTAAATTGTCGAATACTCACAACTGTATCCAAATGTTTCGATTCTATGTACTCGTAGATGTGACTTACTTTTAGCCAGTAATGACAATTCGATTAACCATGACCATAGATGGTACAGCCTACGATCTCTGTACAATAGTTGTCGCATGGTAGCGAACGTGTTAAAGAAACATTCGTGTTCGAAGGGCGAAACGATCGCGGGTTTCACGAGTTTCATCGCTACTTTATTTCGTTCGATACGCTAGATCGCCGCGTCCTTGACGCCCAATCGACGTCACCGACTATTTAATCACTGTCTGTGTTATAGGCGTCCCGTACCCAATATTCCTCCCCGAATCCCCGACAGACCGTACTACGGCCGATTAAACTGAGCTAGTCCATGGAGAGCACACTACACCTGTGCGCATCCACGCCCGAGAGTATTCGAGGAATGTCGTTCTGAAACGAGCCGATGACCGGGACACGGGAACAAGCTCAGGACAAAGCTGGGAGACGTCACTCGACGTAAAACGAGTGACGTCGATAATCCGGGGTGACCCTGGACGCGTCGTTCGGGTCTGCGCCCTCCTTTGATCTCGACAGCCACGAGGTAATTGCGTTCGTCCGCGCGACGAGGGAAGATCCCAAAGGAGGGACAGCACGATCCCACGGAGCAGGAGGAACAAGGCTGTGCCAGAAAAAAAAAAAAGAATAAAAAGTAACGAGAGAGAAAGAGGAACCAAGAGAAACGAACAAGACGAATGGCCAGCGCTAAGGGATTTAACGGTTCGTCTAGTCTGTTGCTCGATAGTCGGCAGCCAGAGATTCAATCCAGTCACACTTCTTACTTCTTCTTTCTCTGAGATTTTTTTCGTCTTCTATGTTTTATTTATACCGCTAGACGAGTTTAGGTTACGTGTAGTTGCTAAGTATTAAAGATGGCGCGCTGGTCGATGCGCCCGCGACGAACTCCGATGGAACGATTTTGTTTAGCTCGTAACGCGGTGGCGACAGACGGTTTTCCGAGAAGAAGCGGCGCGGTTATCGATCCGTACTCGGAATTTTCGGTTTCGTTCGGAGCTATCAGTATTATAGGTAAGAATGGAGAGTCAACGATGTTTCATTTTTCAGTCACGGGATCGCTCCAGGTTCGGTTGGATCGCCGTCGGTTGAACGTTAACGCGGACACGTGTATCGATCGTTATCTTTTCGAGAGGTGTAGCGTTGTGAATTCGTATACCGTCATCTGGGGTGGGATTGTGCCACTTTTCTGTATATTTCACAACGGATCCTGATTTCTTTTCTAGCGAACCTATAGTCGTAGCAAGATCTTTGGCTGTTATGTTAAAAAATTTTGTTATCGTAGTCGGTAAGGCGTAAGCAATTGATCTTTTACAATCATATCATGAATCATGAATCGTTATACAAAAATAATTATAATTAAATATATTATGAAAAGTATTGGCCTGATTTTTTTATTAAATTAGAAGGTTCACTTGCTTTAAACAAAAGCTATCCTTAAAATGTGCAATATTACTATAATAAATTGTACAAAATATCTACTAGGATGCTGTACAAATACTGATTCAGTCTATGCTAGAACAACCTATGTATATCTAATAGGACTTCTAGTTACACAGAGTGACCCCTGATGACGGTATTGCCTTAAATTTTAGAAGAGACTAGCAAGGAAATCAGGACTTCCCCCCCTTCCACAAATTTTAATTTTAATGATAACATTATGAAATTCTATACCTACGGAAATCTTGTGTATGATATTACCTGCAAATGACCACTAATTATTTAAAAGATCCAAATCAATATCTGGGAAATTTTACTTGCTTGATATGTCATAAACTATCGAACGACAAATCTGTAGTAACTTAGCGAGTATTATAAACCGAATTATATATTTTAAGTTATGTATTATGTAATGGAAATTGATTGTAAGATAAGAAATATCTATGATAATAATTCATATCCTACTTTTGAAAATAAATATTGCAATATTTAATACAAACTAATAGTCAACGCTTCTGAAAATTACTTTTTATTAATAAGACGAGATCAATATATTTTTTCTTCGGGAGAATATCTGTTCCTATGATACTCTCATGGAAGAACTGTCTTTGACATTTTTACTTCTTATAAATTTTATTCAAGTTAGAATTTGTAGAAGAAGTTATATAACTGTTTCGACCATTGTTTGTAACGTGACGAAACAAATGATTTTTATATTCATTATTAATATAATATTTTAGTAACACGTTGCAAGTTTAAAAAGAGAAGATTGATAAAGATTGATAATTAGTGGCCGCCTGCAATTGATATTGTACACAAGATTTCCCATAAATATAAACCTTTCATGCCATAATATTGTCATTGAAATCTGAGCTTGAGAGTTCTAAAGCTGGCCTTGTAAACGTCAAAATGGCCGCGACAGACACTGGCTCTGACTTCTTGTCCGAAGACTCGTGCTCCAAAGGTATCGCGTTCAAACGAGACTCGCGGACGATGTGTAATGTGCAACCCGATTACCTCGATTCTAGGTGAAATTTGCTAGAGCAAAAAGCACGCGGTTCGGTCTACGATTTAGCTAGGGATGAAGTGCACGGTACGATATGCGATCGACAACAGCATTCCAGTTAAACGCCTGTGTAAAACTCAAAAAGGAACGCCCCACGATTCGTTGCGACGATCGTGCCAAAACGTAACAAATCCTTTTTGTACGAGTAACTTATTCAAGTACGATTAACGATGCCATTTTACAGCTCGAGTTTATATAACACGGATTTACAATCGAACAACGAACTTACGGAACGAAAAATTCTCTCCGACTCCCATATAACGTATTGAAAAGAAAGAAAAAGAAAAAAACAATTCCCGATTGATATACGCGCGATGTTGTTCATTTTTATCTATTTTTACGGTTATTTTTGCATCTTAATTGTTTAGCCGTTGTGATAGTACGAAGCTTTTTGCAGGGGCCCGATACGGTGAGAGCCAATATCCCTCGAGAAATGATAATTAATTTAATGAAAGCCGCTGTTATAATTTGTAAATAAAAAAAATGAAATACGAGTATAGTATTACGTGTCGATGTACATGCTAGGAAGGATGAATCTTTTGTATTACCAAACTTCGCACGTTGATGGCCAATCTGCTATGATACGCGACACCGACTGACGACTAATGTACCTAGGGACATACGACGAATCAAATAAATAATATTTAATACGAGCACAAATGATTTCCGAACGCCTTTCAAAAACATTTGAATTCCGATTGTAAATTGTTCTTCTATCCCATTCGATATGCAATACGTAAAATTCAGTTTGCCTTTGGTTATATGGTAACATTCGTGTCCATCGACTCTGTACATTCCAGTATGAAATTCAATATATCTTTCCAACTCTCGACCATCGAGTAATAATTATTCTTATTTTTTTTATCACGCATTATATATATACCGTTATCGAGTATTCGTTGAAAATTGCATTTCGTTTCTTTGAACCGTCGATAATCTCCATTATGGTTAAGTATGTCGATGCAACCATGTGGTCGCGATCAACGGAAAATGAAGCAAGTGATCGATCAGATTAGAGAGCTTGCCAACAATTTAGATTATTTACGAGCAGAGATCGGCGCTCTGAAAAATAATTATCTCGCTAATGACCTAAATCTCCCGTTCGACGATCGACCCGAACGTAGTGGAAATGGCAAAACAAGCATTTTGTACAAATTGAAGAAGTGTCTGAGGAAGATAAGAAGCGCAGATTTGCAGAAAAGCAGGCAAAGTTCCACAAAGAGTCACGAGGTATGTAATTTTCAATCAAATTAAAATTTAGAACACCCTACGTATTATCGGTTAATACTGATTACGATTTTTTTGTTATTAGGTTTGCTATCCACGTAAGATTCTAGATCAATCGTTGCTATCATCCTTGAGGTATAATTTTCGCATTGGCAAAAAGGGCGAAATCACACGTTTGAAAGATGACTGCAACCGGACGAACGAAAAATTTCGTCAGCCATTTGTAAAACTGTCCAAGGATCGAAGTTCAATCGTTTCAAAATACTTGGAAAATATGGAAAATATTCCACGATGGTCCGAGTTAAGTTGTGAATTGGATTCCTATGTAGAAGATCCCACATTCCCGAACACGTACACGCTTCTGCCAAAGTCTAACTTTAAAACTATTCCGCGAACGAGAGAAGTGTGTTCGCTGAACGAAAACAAGCAGTTCACGAACACGTCCACGCAAACCGTTTCGTCGAAAGTGAAACGAAAACGTAGAAATTTCAATTTTCGTCCGAACCATTCGAGTCTTTATTTCTCTAAGATAAAGAATGCCGTGATTACGAAGAAAATAATAAGAAACCCGAGCGACAGAGAGTTCACGGTATGTGGAAAAGTCAGTCGCGTGGAAGACTATCCGTACGTGAAGAAAAAATTTTATGAATGCTCGTGCAAGACAAAGAAAATAAAGAACGCTGTTGAGACAGTTGGTCGCGAGACGTTTGAAAAAGGATTTTCCATACAAAAGTGTACTAATCTATCATGTATAAGCGATGATAATATGAACGAGAATTTCACTTCCGAAGAAGAACTAGAGTCATCTCCTTCCATGCCAGTATCTGTGGATTTGGAAATTAATGTTTCTAACAGTTCGAACGAAATCGAAGAATTTCATCCCCGTAGAAAACCAAGAACTTATACAATAAAGAAAACGATCCAGAATGACACTAACAACTGGTTCGATCGATTCGAAAGCGTACTCTATGTAGGAGATACTTCCGATTTGACTCTTTCCTCGCAGAGTCTTCGGAACTAAAGTACGAAGTGGATAAACGTATTATAAAATTTGCAATTTGATTAGTAATTTACGAATAAAGAACGTAACTATATATAATTTTTAACAACGTTTATTTAGTTACAACTCGAGTATAATTTAATATAACGTTGCAACTTGTTTAATAGCATAAAATAACAAAATGTATAATTAATAGTTTACAAAGTTTTTATGTACATTTCTTTGATATTTTTAACAGTCTGTTCGGTTAAGAATATTGTGACAGTCTTTTTAAGTTACGGTAGATCACACGTGGTTTTCTTCATTCTCATTGTTATTGTATCAAATCAACGCGACTGATGGTTCTGGGAAATTTCTAGGAAAATGTTCAAATGCATTCAAGTACAGTTAAGAAAAGTCTGAATGTGCAATGCAATTGGAAAATTGTTTTCAGTTTCAAACTGTTGCATAGCCCCTCATACATTTCGTCAATGTTTTAATCCCCAACTAGCTTCCGACTATTGAATATATTCTACTTAATTAATTTCAATTGATATTGGCCAACTGAAAGTATGCATTATACTTTATATTATTAAGTGAAAAGAAAAGATAATCCATCAGATGCCATTTGCATTTTTTATCGCGTTGAATGAATTGTTTTCGGCGACTGCAGTTGCAGTCACCGTGTTCGCGGCGTGGGCGTGGCTGGCAAAAATGGCCCCCCAAACCGCCACGAACGTCCCAAATACCCCTTCGTCGCCATCGGTGTTTTTCTTGAAATTGTGCACGGAATAACGGTTGTAAAGTCCCCAGATGCTATTCATCAGTTTACTGTTGTACTTCAGCGGCGTAAGCTCCCAACCTAAGAACATAATTATCAAATCAACTTAACTAATAACTTTCTGACGAAATATTTCATTCGTGTCCGAAATAACCGTTATTAAGATAGTCGTGTTCGAAAATACGCGCGTAAACTTATCAATCTCGACTCCATGCGTTCTATGGTACAACCACAAAATTTAAAGTTAGTATTAATCGCTAAAATTCAAAGCTACGACTGGACTACGTTGGTAAACTTTACAGAGATTGCTTTTATTGCGTTCGTGATCAAACACATTATGCAATAAAATTTTATATAATTCATTACGAATATGATAATCTGAAATCCATTGAACCAGATTCTAGAGAACGAAAACTCGTATAATAAAATCGTATTCCATATTTTCTACTTATTAGCGACTACATTCGTTCCTATTTTAATTGTACCATAAAACTCCCTGTACAGTCAGAAAAGTGTTAATATCATTTATCAGACAGTCGTTAAATATTTTTGTTCTCGTTTAATGAGCTTTGGACCACTGCTGATCTGTAAGCCACATTCTTTGTCCTATATTGAATCGATAACCGAGACGTCTATTGAAACACGTAGTACTTAGAACACAGAACGCATTAGATGTAATTACGATAAACACCTTCCAGGAGGGGCCTCATGTTGAACATAGTTTCTTTCTCAGGTTTTTCTCTTTCCTCCATTCGCGTTATCAGTGAATTGCGTTCAAGATTGCGGTGAACTTTGCACGCTGCAAATGCACCCTGCGGAATAGCTGCCATCCTTTTACAGTCTATAACGGAGAAAAGAATTAGATGTATTTATTTATTTATTTTTCGCTATATTTAACACTGTACTTTGCGTTAGAACCAACGTTCGAAGAAATAATGAAAAAAAAAGAAGAGAAAACAAAACAAAACTGACCAGCACAAATTTCGAATAGCAGCTCGACGATTTCCTTTTCGGTGATTATCTTTTGCGATCTGCCTTCGACGATTATTTTAGTTCCAGGGAACTGGCTTCTCACGAGCTTACGCAGTTTTCGATTTCGGTTCTTGATTGTACCAAACCTCATGCAGCCACGACGATAGTACTTCAAAACGGGCATCAACAGTATTTTAAAAAAATACAGACTTTATATTTTTTAGCAGCGTTGTATGTTGCAAGAAGACTACTTGTATTGCGAACGAACGTTGTAGGTTACGTTGTAACGTTGTACTAATGTCACGTAGTAATGCTGGATTCGATTTATAAACTTGTCGGGCGAATAAGTGGGGACAGATTCGACGGGAGGCAATGAAAGAAAAAAAAAATCATCTTTGTGTAATGAGCACTAGATACGAACGCCCTTCAAGATCGATGACGCTGTCGACCACCACGACTCTCTTATCTCGTCGGGCCTCTCATTTTTAAAACGATGATCCACATGTTTCCTTTGCTGTTAGATACGATGTGTATATATAACTGGAGCAGATCCGTCATGGAATGCAAATTTCATTTTATGCATTATGATCTAACGTTCGAAACTTTCAAATCTAGAAATTATTCAAAATTCAAACGAAAATAAAATAGTGTGACTTCTTTGCATTCTCGTCGAACATTGGATGATTTTGATACGCGTGGTTGCAAACCTTTTGAAAATTCACGAGCTAAAAATAATTGCGTACGTGCATTTTACCATGTTTTTAATATGCTAAACTTTGCCACGCGATAAGAGGCTAATGAATACGAACAGTCCACTCTTCTACGATGAGGTTACGAGTAGATCTGTTGTCGAAAATTTTATTCTATCTGAAACATTCGAAGCTGATCGTTCTCACTCTTGATTATTGCTCAACGTTTCCTATTATTCAAAACTCTCGTACATAAACATATAATATAGATAATGGGTAACAAATAAACGACAATGATGAGCAACATTGTTTAAAATAGTAATTCAGTTGTTTAATACAAAAATAGAATAAAAATTATATTTTTACAACTTGTATACAAATTACAGAGATCAATCTTTTACATAGTCATGCTGCCAAACAGGCTTCCGTTTCTCGATAAAACTTTTAATTCCCTCCTGAGCATCTTTCATTTTTAAATTGTTCACCATCTTTTCGGTGCCCATGAAGTATGCAGTTGAAATATCAAGGTCCATTTGTTCGTATAAAAATGTTTTCCCGATATGCATAACTGACCGACTTTTCGAATTTATGGCCGCCGTGACGTTATTAATTTCTTCTTCTAAATGTGCAATACAATACAAAATATTTATTTATGAACTTCATAATTCAGCAAGCTATCAATAACTTACCAAATTTATCATTTGGCACTACTTTGCTCGCAAGACCCGCTTCGTATGCTTCTTTTCCACTAATGCTGAAACCTGTGAAGAGCATATACATTGCTGTTTTTCTAGGGACATTTCGAATCAAGGGAATACCTGGTGTAGAACAAAATATTCCATGATTGGCACTAGAAAACAATTGCACATAATCATTATCCAAAGAATACTGAGAAATATAGCAAAACATTTAATAAAATATTGTTTTCTAAAAGAATATTTACCCTGGTGTACTGAACGAACTTCTTTCTGTACAAATGACAATATCACAGGCAGCAACCAACTGGCAACCAGCTGCAGCAGCTACACCATCCACAGCAGCAATTATAGGAACAGGACTCTGACTGATCAATTGCATCATCTCAGAGCATGTTTCAAAGATTTCCTTGTGTAGCTTCCCATTGTTAGCAGTCTAAATGATGCAAGCCAATCATTCCTCTAAGACGAATGTTAAATACTGTTTATATTAAACAGACCACCACTGTTTTTGTTCAATAGTCTACGAACAAACCAATTCTTTCAAGTTATGTCCAGCTGAAAATACATTCCCTGGAGCAGATCTGAGAACAATGGACCTCAGTTCTTTATTGTTTTCATCCTTCTTGATATTTGTTATAATGGACTTCAGCATAGCCAGCGATAAAGAGTTACGTGTTGAGGGTTCATTTAATATTATTGTTCTTACCTGATTGTAAAACCACACACAAATTAATTAGAAAATATGTACTGTGTATACTTATGCATGGTACATATTCCTTTAATTTATATAATACAAAATTTATTATAACTGCAGGTTTAATGTATTTTTTTACCCCATTATTTTCCTCAATGTCTACATATTTCGTTTCCGTGAATAACATCTTATTGGTAGAAAATGTCCTTGTGATATATCGTCCCACCTGCAACATTTATACATGCAAGGGACAGGATACACGGTTTAAAATGTCCCGCGGTTCTTAATAAATTCTAATCGCGCAACTTCATAAATCTTTACAGATATTAACAGCTAATGCCTAGATCTAATTGGATTGCATCCTTAATTCTATTATATCGATTCATGTGCAAAACAGATAAAGTATATTAGTTACATTCTGGGCAAATACAATATGTTTTAAGATAGTTGTAGGTTATATAACCCTCACTATACATAAAACATACGTATTTACGTAATTAATTTGATAATACAATACCTGAGAGTAAGCAAAGATATTTTGCTTCGTTAATGTTGCCATGGTATTTTATTCGTAATATTGTTTGCTTTTTAAATTGTAATGATTAATGAATAAATTGCATTCTCAGAATGACTGTCATATATACTGATCATTGAAAATGGAGATTTGCGATAACATCATGTAAAGCAATATTACAGGCGAGATATATATAACATATATCGTACATTCAATACAACTTTTTGTATGAATCTAGGTTTTGGGGGATCGAATTTAGGTAGTATTATTGTCGACCAAAATTAGTCTCTTTCCCGCGTATTTTGCATCTTTTAATGTTTAAGGTGCATTTGTTAGTCCAAAAATGGTGATTTATCTTCCTGTATTCGACAATTTATTTATTTTTAATTTCATTGCATTAATGTGGACGTTAGTTTCATGTTCAGTTTATTTTGGGAACTGTGGGCCAGTGGCTCAGCTAGATTATAGTATTTTGATGGTGTTTTGTTGGTTCAAATAATTAGATATCAAGGCAATATATTGCATTGTATTTATTAAACGAGTAGAGATCTTAGGCTTACAAAGAAAGACATATTTGTAGTTTGCAAGTTTCTTTCGACAAGTACATGGTTTCACATCGCGTCAAGCATAATACAGATTAACTTGAGACTACATGTACGTCAATCTAACTAATAAACAGTGTCTACATAAAGTGACTGCATTCTTGCCCAATTAAATGTCCGTTTAGTTTGTCCGTGATGCTCCCTGCCTATAAGTTAAAGGAAGTGTGACCCATCGGTGGAACATGATTCGCCCAGCTATCTACGGCAAAACGCCCACGTTTATCGTGGAATAGTTCGCTATTTTCAACGATAGATGGCGCTTATTTTCGACCTCAAACCCTCTGGTGCTAAAACGACAATTCCACGACAAACTTGGACGTTTTAGCACCAGGGGGCCCGAGGTCGAAAATGAGCGCCATCTATCGTTGAAAATAATGAACTATTCCACGCCAAATTTGAGCGTTTTGTCGTAGATAGCTGTGCGAATCATGTCCCACCGATGGGTCACACTTTCTTTAACTTATAGACGGGGAGCATCACGGACAAACTAAACGGACATTTAAGTGGGCAAGAATGCAGTCACTTTATGTACACACTACTGTAGTTATTATAATAATAATAAGCTTTAGACACTTAGACATTAGCCTGTGTCTTAGGTTTGTGATGTCTTCTGACAAGAATAGGACTTTTTCTAGACAAGTTTGGGCCTTTGGCATTAATAGTAAAGCAATTACAAAGTGATCTAAATTATTGAGCACTCTATTGTTGCATTAATAAATAAATTAATTTATGCGGCGAACGAGGAGAACAGATTAGAGGAAGAAGTAACATTCATTTGTAACACAACTATTTCATTTACTTTGCATCCATCAGTTCTTCTTATGGATTTACATGCATGCTTTCGTTTCCTTTTTATTATCATTATAGTAAATTTTTGCACGTTGGAACGTACAAACATAAGACGAGGTATATGCGAGTGGACTTTACATCCAATTTATTTTCTCGGCCCATTTCTATGGGGCTCTAGAGCAGTAAAGAACTTATTTTCAGTAATGAATTCTTTTCTCGAAAGTACGCAGGATTTCGGTGGTATGTGTATTCACCAAAAATGATTGCAATTGACCTCCGCAACCGAAAATAATTTTTCCAGAGTGATCAGAAACTTTTCAATTTCGCCGAAAAATATAATCACCTAACTCCTCTCGATTTTCCTTAGACATTCGTTTATGATTTTTAGTAATTTCGTTTGACGCCCTACAGAAAGTCTAATACTTTAAAAATATATTTCTACTTTCCGACCTATGTATCTAGACGCAGATAAGCAAAGTACCCATAATGAAAACAAAATTTTGTGAAATTTTATTTACGGAAATACACGTATTAAAACCCACTGATCATATTTTAATTATTGTAAAAGGAAATTTATTTTTATTATTCCTATGTATGAGCGTACATATTTATATTATTTCAGATATCACTTCTGATATATCTGGCAACGTATAACCATTACTGTAACTTCTGCCAGCCTCTCCAGGCCTCTGCTGGCTTCTGCTGGTCTCTGCCGACCTCTGCCAGCATGTGCGGGCTTCTGCCTGCCTCTGCTGCCCTCCGCTGGCCCCTGCTGACCACTGCTGACCACTCCCGATACTTCTAACAACGTACAACGATTATGACTGGCTATACTGCTTGCCCCTGCTGGTCTCTGCTTGCTACTACTTGTCACTGGTGGTCTCCGCTGGACTCTGCTGGCCTCTACTGGCCCCTGCTGACCACTGCTGACCACTTCCGATACTTCTAACAACGTACAACGATTATGACTGGCTACTGCTTGCCCCTACTGGTCTCTGCTTGCTACTACTTGTCACTGGTGGTCTCCGCTGGACTCTGCTGCCCTCTGCTGGCCCCTGCTGACCACTGCTGACCACTCCCGATACTTCTAACAACGTACAACGATTACGACTGGCTACTGCTTGCCCCTACTTGTCTCTGCTTGCTACTACTTGTCACTGGTGGTCTCCGCTGGACTCTGCTGGCCACTGCTGCCCACTGCTGACCATCCCTGATGCTTCTGACAACGTATAACGATTACTACGTGTTACTGCTTGCTCCTGCTGATCTCTGCATGCCTCTGCATCCCTCTGCTGGCCTCTGTTGGCCCCTACTGACCCCTGCTGACCACTGCTGACCACTACTGACCCTTGTTAACAACTTCAGACATGATATATATGTATTAAAACATTGTATAATGTAAATCTATGGCAATAAATGATATAATTACAAAGAATTCTATGTGTTCTCATCATTTTTTACCTTTCTCTTCCTCTCCAAATCATTACCTTAGTTATAAGACTCCCTGAAACTCCTTGGTTTCCCTGAACCCACTAGGAAGTCCTGAAACTCAGAACTTTGCTAAAAATTCAGGGTTTCCAAGAAATTCCAGGACTTTCCAGCTGTTTCAGGACTTTCAAACTGTTTCAGGACTTCCCAGCCGTTTCAGGGCTTTCCAGCTGTTTCAGGGGTTTCTCGTTGTTTCAGGACTTTTTCGTTGTTTCAGGACTTTCCAACTGTTTCAGGACTTTCCAGCTGTTTCAGGACTTTTTGGGAAATCGGCGAAATTTTCGAGCAAAAATTTTTTGACGAAAAAAATGAATTCTCGATTTTGCCAACAGGCACGAGAGTGACGGTTACAGAAACAAAAATTTAAAAGTTAATTTTTGATTTTGGCAGCAAGTACGAGAGCTGGACACTTTGGGAATCCAATTTTAACGGGAAAAACGGTCTCTTAATACTAAGGCAATGCTTTGGAGAGGTAAAGAAAGGTAAAAATGACGAGAACACATAGAATTCTATGTAATTATAACATTTATTGGCATAGATTTACATGATACAAGGCTTTAATACATATACATCATATCAGAAGTTGTCAACAAAGGTCAGCGTTGGTCAGCAGTGGTCAGCAGGGGCCAGCAGGGGTCTGCAAGGGACAGCAAGGGCCAGCAGGGGACAGCAGAGGTAAGCAGAGACCAGCAAGGGCAGGCAATAGGAAGTTGTAATCATTATACGTCGTCAGAAATATAAGCGGTGGTCAGCAAAGGCCAGCAGAGGCTGGGAGAGGCTGGCAGTAGCCAGTCGTAATCGTTATACGTTGTTAGAAGTATCAGGAATGGCCAGCAGTGGTCAGCAGAGGCGAGCGGTGCAGGCAGACGTCAGTAGTAATCATTATACGTCGTCAGAAATATAAGCGGTGGTCAGCAGAGGCTGGGAGAGACTGGCAGTAGCCAGTCGTAATCGTTATACGTTGTTAGAAGTATCAGGAATGGCCAGCAGTGGTCAGCAGAGGCGAGCGGTGCAGGCAGACGTCAGTAGTAATCATTATACGTCGTCAGAAATATAAGCGGTGGTCAGCAAAGGCCAGCAGAGGCTGGGAGAGGCTGGCAGTAGCCAGTCGTAATCGTTATACGTTGTTAGAAGTATCAGGAATGGCCAGCAGTGGTCAGCAGAGGCGAGCGGTGCAGGCAGACGTCAGTAGTAATCATTATACGTCGTCAGAAATGTAAGCGGTGGTCAGCAGAGGCCAGCAGAGGCTGGGAGAGGCTGGCAGTAGCCAGTCGTAATCGTTATTACGTTGTTAAAAGTATTAGCAATGGCCAGCAGTGGTCAGCAGAGGCGAGCGGTGCAGGCAGACGTCAGTAGTAATCATTATACGTCGTCAGAAATGTAAGCGGTGGTCAGCAGAGGCCAGCAGAGGCTGGGAGAGGCTGGCAGTAGCCAGTCGTAATCGTTATACGTTGTTAAAAGTATTAGCAATGGCCAGCAGTGGTCAGCAGAGGCGAGCGGTGGCAGGCAGAAGTCAGTCGGAGGTATACCTCGTCTGTGGGATAAGTTTGTCGAGAAATAGTTCATCATTTTCGGGGTTAGATCACACTCCGAAGTATGTACGATCGAAATGATATAAAAATATATTATTCATCAATTTAATTTATTTATGAAAGCATCGCCAAAATATTTTTTGATTGCACAAGCTTGATGCGCCATCTATTGTCGAAGGTAACGAACTATTTTTCTATAGACTGGCCACGCATATTTTCGGTAAACAATTTTTCTCTCGAAATTGCGTAGGATTTAGGATTTAGGATTTTAGGATGATTGCAATTGACCTTTGCATCCGAAAATAATTTCTTTAGAACGTTTTAAAATTCTTTAATCGTATTCAAGTTTCATTCGTTTCCCTTTAACGAGTATCATTTTTATCCTCGAGGTTACTAAACTGTAGAAATAGAACGAATAACAGTCCCTTCGATCTCCTCGAGAATATTCCCTTTTGATCGAACTTCCGAAGTCTAACAGTCGGAGAGCCTGTCACCGGTTGCCATGGCAGCCATTGTTTCCCCTAACAACTGACATGGCGCAGGTTGAGGGTAAGTTTGCATATGGAAAACTGCTTCTGCTAGTATTTACGAAATCCCGGTAGCTTGTCTGCCGTAAATAACGCGTCGAGAGATCCTAACGATCCGCCGTGTGAAGTTTTTCTCGCGTTGTACTTCCGTCCGGATGCAGTTTCGCGGTTGGGACTGTCTTCTAATAATATGTACGAGAACCACGCGGACACGAGTGTATTCGGGCGCTTAAGTGGAAAAGAGAGGAACTAGTGACGGGTCCGAGCTAACATAACCGATATACCGTCGCGTTGATCAGTGTTACTTGACAGAAATATCGAAAATTTGATACGAGGTAAGGTTATACATTCTATCGTGCATAAAATCGAACCGTTAATCGGTGAATCGATCATCGACGCGAACATTCCCCGCAAGTATCGAACGCAATGTATAAGGCACGGTACCACGAAAAACAATTGAATATCTCTATGGTGTTTGTGACAGTGAACATGTGAATAAAAACGCATTAATCGAATACAATTAACGTTTCGATAATCCTTATTTTACTCGAAATATTTTTAGAGACTCGTAATTCCATCGGTTTCTGACGTGAAAATTAATTTTAACATTGTGCGTAAACAGAATTTTGTTACTGACGTATTTCGTGTTTATTTGGTCGAAATCTACGGTTAGTTGCATAGAATTACATGTACAAACGCATATCTGGCTGTCAAATTTACAGTGTATAGCGTGGTTTTCGAAGTATCGATCGAATTCACTAAGCGTGGCATACTAGGTTATTAAATCATTAAGTCTAATCGTGATCCCTGTTGCGTGGGCCACCGGTGACCACCGCCGGAAGCGGAACTCATTTCACGGAATAAGGACGTGAGCTTGACTGCAATCGATACGTTGCACACTTCGTCTTACGAAAATATACCGTAGAATTGATTCAATCTCCACCGAACAAATCATTTCGTGCGTACTTGTCGTCGTGGATTTCTAAGTCCATTATCAGTCATTAAAAATCTCAATCGTGATTTACTTCTTTTTATTTGTACTTAACGAGTACTCGAACACGAATAAACTTCTATAAACTGTTTGAATGACTAGGGTAATGCAATAATATAAATTGCCTGTAGCTGTCATAACCTAAAAACTCTCATAACCTATTGGACACGCAGCCATACAAGTCGATAGATGTCCACGAAAGTTAAGATTAGATAAATTGATTTTAAGAACGTTTACAAAGTGTGCCAATATCGTGTCCACTTGTTGCCTGTCGTCGAGGGTTGCTCGAGAGTTCTCGAGTCGCTGGAAGCATCCTCGTGCTCGATCCCATCGCTACTCGAAGGACGGTGCTGCGTCTCCTGATGCTCTCGCGGTGACACCTAAAATAAGTCGCTTTTGTAAGAGGAGAAAGAGACAGCGTGGACGGTTGCGTACAAGAACAGCTTCGTGGTTATGGCACGGCTCAGTCGGTGCGCCTCCATGCCGTTCGTTCGATGTTGTGTTGCGTCTCGAGGCGAGCCGTCGCGGAGACGGATTTGATATCCCTTTACGATCAGTTTCCATCGAAAGTGCAATTCGTCGAATCGGAGAAAATAATCGAAGTCGATCGATATACCGAATCAGGTGAGATTGGGACTCTGAGTCTTCTCTGAATCTTCCACCTGTGCTCTGACCATCTCTTTCTACTAACAATTCATCGAATCCTAGCCTAAAAGTGGGTCGAGTTCGTTCTTCCCTTTTTCCCTCGATTGCTTTCGATCTAACATCGCTGTATACTTTCTAAACAACCATAATATCTACTGATCCATAAAACAGCAAATTATAGCCCCCTGAGAGTCAAATTGCTAACGCTCTTTTTATTTCAAACGTTCTTGCAAATAGACTTTATTGCATTGAATTTTCTGTCACGTATACGTGACTTCGCGAGCCAGCAGACGTTGGCCATTGTCACGTGTGCGTGATCTACTGTATCAGTCACCATACATTCAATTTATTGCGTCTGTTGAGGTTACATTTATAATTCCTAGCATCTTGTATCTCACTTTGGTCTACAATAAAGTGTTAAGGGAACTGTATAGACACAAAATGGCGTTATACTTGACATCCTAGTTATTCGAACTAGGCGTGGGACCCGATAGTCGCATCCAATATGGAACAGGGTTAAAAAAATGGTCGTCGACAAATAATAAATCGCGATTACGAGTCCGCGTACGAAGGTGACCGTTGAAAAAGGCGTTGTACCGTAAGATGGCCGCGCCATCGGCGGGAAACCGAGGACCGAAGGAATCGTCGACACTTGGGCAAGCATGGCGTGATCTCTTCTACGCGCGCAACAGATACAATGCTGGGTAACTCGTAAACTCCTAAAAAGGAAGCTTGCTCCTCTGTAGGCGAGCCACTCTCGCGGGGGCGACACCTCGTCGTAATCCTCCTCGTCGTTTAATAAGAGAAACACGCAGGTGTCCGTGATTCGCGCCCGCGGAACGACCGATCCTCCAGATCGATCAACGCGATCTCGTAGAATACTGTAGTCGTTTCGAGAAATCTCTGTGTGATTTTGCTTGTCTCTGTGGCTCTCAACCTTGGGACTGTTTGTCATCTTTATGGTGCCTGATGATCTCACAAAGTATGATAATCGTGGTTCGATTAACCTTGGGAATTTATAGTGCCACTGGTTTTATTGGTATCAAGGTGGACGCTTATTAATTAGTTACCAGTGTTGTGATTGATGTTGCTATCATTACTATCTCAAGAGACTCTAGTCTACCTACGTTACTTGCTTCTGTGATCCCTGATTTTGAGATTCTTTACCACATTGTGGTACTCGATGACCTCAAAAAGGAGTCTGAATTTGATCAATCTTAGTCTGAAGCTACTAGCTATCTCTACCACTATGATCCTTTCGTCTGAACAGTTCTAATAATCGTCAGAACTTGCTCTACCTTTGGTCTAAAGTGGTACTAGCCAAGTTACCTACTGAGATGGTGCAGAACGATTATATCTTCGCGAAACAGATCTCTCGACGCGGACCCAGCCAGAGTCTGACCAAAGCACTCACTGTTGTTCGTGTCCCCCGTACAGAGAGTCATGGATACCCCGATTAGACTTCAGAAAACAGGATCAGAGAGTTCGTCTCTCTCCAAGACGCGTTGATATCGGTTCACCGATGCGTCCGTGTACGAACGTTGACGGAAATCGTTTTGACTCCACTCTGCACGACAGACGGGACGCCATCTTGCGCGCCCGCCGCGCTAGGAGAACGCAACCCCGACGGCGGAACTAATTCTCGGTAAATGGACGCAGATGTGGCGCCGATCCTTATGCCGTGCGCGATCTGCGCGCGGACATTTATGCCCCAGTCGCTGGAGAAGCACACCAGGATATGCGAAAGGTCCACCGGGAGGAAGAGGAAGCCGTTCGACTCGTCCAAGCAGAGGATCCAGGGCACGGAGCTGGCCGAGTTTCTGCCGAGGCAGGAGAGGAGGCGACAGGACGACAAATCCTGCAGGTCCAGGTCCTGGAAGCAGACGCACGATGAGTTTCTGCGCGCCATCCGCGCCGCACGCTGCGAACTCGTAAGTTCTTGAGCATTCGTGTGTGAGGATGATGTTTATAGAGGAGGATGCTTTAGTTAAACTGACTGGTACAATGTTTGGATCGAACCAATTTCGACTGGATTCCTGGGACTGCTCGTAAAGACTTTGTTTCTTGTATTTATACCGTTCCAATACTTCCTGCGTCATGGTTTTATATCTTCGAAAGCGTGGAGGGTTCGTGGATCAAATACGAGGGAGAAATTGATGATCTTTTTAGAGGATATTTGCTTTGATGGCACGAGCTGACAAATATTTAGTTATACGGGGTGTTCGACCAGCTCTGGATAAAATTTTAGAGATTCTAGAGGCCAAAATAAGACGAGAATCAACGCCTGTGGAATGGCAATCTTCGAACAGCTGCTTGCATATGATAGTGGTTCCCACTCAGCATGAAAAACTCTACTTACCACTAAACGTCAATAACTTGTATTAAAAAATTATTTTTAGCTACGGGGGTCAATTAGAATCATTTTTGGTGAATACACATACCCTCGAAATCCTACGCAGTCTCGAGAAAAAAATTCGAGTAGGTGAACAAATTCGATAAAATTAAAAAATTTTAAATTGTTCTGGAAAAATTATTTTTAGTTGCGGGGATCGATTATAATCACTTTTGGTGAATAGACATACCCCCGAAATCCTAGCCACATTCGAGAAAAAAATTCGAAAAGGTGCTTAATTCTTCGGCGAAATTAAAAAATTTCAAATCTTTTTTAAAAAATTATTTGTAGCTGCGGGGATCGATTACAAACACTTTTGGTGAATAGACATACCCCCGAAATCCTAGCCACATTCGAGAAAAAAATTCGAAAAGGTGCTTAATTCCTTGGCGAAATGAAAAAATTTCAAATCTGTTTTAAAAAATTATTTTTAGCTGCGGGGGTCGATTACAAACACTTTTGGTGAATAGACGTACCCCCGAAATCCTAGCCACATTCGAGATAAAAATTCGAAAAGGTGCTTAATTCCTCGGCGAAATTAAAAAATTTCAAATCTTTTTTAAAAAATTATTTTTAGCTGCGGGGATCGATTATAAACACTTTTGGTGAATAGACATACCCACGAAATCCTACGCACTTTCGAGAAAAAAATTCGAGAAGGTGGACAAATTGCCGTTCTACAGCCGGAACTTTGAACGTTAATAATTGTTTAACGAAGCCTCAATCAACAAATTAGTATTCTTGATTTTCTTCCTATTTTGGACTCTAGAATCTCTTATTAAAATTTTTTCCAGAGGTGACCGTACACTTTGTATATTTTTTAAACATTGTACAGAGTATCTCCTTCAGTGTGTAATAAAAATAATTTATCTGTTTTATCTATTTTTAACTTTTCTAATCCATCACTTCGTCCAGTGAAATAGTCTTTATCGTGTTAGACTTGATTTGATACAATTTCGATTAAAAGTTTTTCCCGGACCAAATGACAGGGGAATAATTATTAACTAATTGACTTTCGATCGGCAATCCGATTAACGAGAGCTGTAATTATTTTGTCGGATAATGAAACAACATGTAATTTAGGTAATTGGAAAATATAAGGTTACAGAATCCGCGCGAAGGAGAAAATAAACAGACGGGAGGTGAGAATTGCAGGTGGAACGCAGATTAACCCAGATGCATCGCGAATGATGCAAGTGCAGCCGTGCGTGAGAAGAATTTTCTTTGCGACACGCAGTATTATTTTATTTATCCCGGCCGTATTTGTTGCCGGACTTAATTATCGGAGATACGAACTCTGCTAAATTGCTAAGCCTCTAATACGCTGAAATAATCGATTAAACACTTTATATATTTACTGTAATTAACATAGACCTTAAATCACGATATTAATTTATTTACAATATCACTTCTTGCAACGATCACATTCCACGGAATTTATTTCTCCTGGTCCTTGTTAAGTCATCTTAAAATATAGAATTCATAAACGGGACTTCCCACGCAACTGGACTTGATGTTGAGAGTCAGACATTAAACATGTCCATATTACTATACAGGATTAGTCCATGAGTCGACCCTCCTATAATACGGTTAATTCGATCCGTATTGTATCGGAACCATGTCAAGTAAAATTTAGAAGCATCGATGCTTTTTGAGTACTATGATTGTAACGCTAGATTCACGGAAGCCATGTTTAAAATTAGAGAACGTCCAAGTGTAATTTTTTGTTGTTACTTGCTAGGTTGAAAGGTCAATGTATCGATTAACGATTACAAACGTTGAACATTACATTTTTAGGAGGATACCACGATGCAGAAGCAGAGCAGCCCGAATGCTCCATCGAGCGCGCCGACGCGCGCGAACGAACAGGGTGTGTGTCCCACCTGCAACCGACATTTCGGAATAAAAGCTTACGACAGACACGTGGCCTGGTGCAAGGAACGTGTCACGAGGGTGACGCTCAGTCCTGCAACGAACATCGCCAAGGAACGTCTCGAAGCGCGGATGAGGTATCGGGCGCCATCTTTGAAGAACCGCCGGCAGACCAATCGCGAGAAATATTCACCTGGTTCAGTGGTCACTCTCAATTCTGGCAACAAGGTGTCACCGACCCTAACTAAGGCCAAGGAGACCGTGTCAGCCCCTAACTGCGTCAAGGGCAACGACAGTCCGAACAAACAGAAGCCATTCGTCGTGTGAGTTACTTGAGACGAGTTTAACGCGTTGGCCGCCATGACAGTTGCGATGGGGGCTGCTGGAATCTCAGCTGCGAAACTGTTCGAAGTTTTTAACTAACGACTCTTGGACAAATCGAGTTTTAAAAGTTTCGAATGCCTGGAATATCTTGAGCCTTGAAGATCTTTATAGAATTGACATGAATTCATACCGATTCGAAGAGCTTCAGATCCCATCACTACTCGTTATATCATGGATGTCAAACATTTTTTTATATAAATTTAATATTAAATAATAAGCAATCAAGATTGAGGTTATGTCTCGAGCATGATTGATAGGTATGAGATCAAGTGGTTGCACTGTCGCCTATATACATTGACCAACGAGTGTCATCTGATATTATATTTGAATATTCACTGATTATTTCAGTTTTATTTCGCAGACGCCCATCCAAACTCAGTGGAAGAGCCATCAATCTTAATTAAACAAGTCGTATCAAACGTAGCTCTTTAATTTCTAAAAAAGTTTGACATCGCTCCAATTCACCATTATCTTCTGCACGTATCAAAGCAAACAAATTATTAAGAAATTGTTATTAACGTTATCTGATACTATTTGAAACACGTAAGACTGCGAAAACATGATAAGGACTGACGTCGAAAATAAGTCCAGAGATTACCGTAATTGCAATAATAAAATTACATAATATTGAAGAACGAAGATTTTTGGAAAGTATTCCAGGGAATTGGAATGATTCTGAGTTAGTGACAACCTGACAGAGAGTTCTATAACATGTTTGCGACCTTATTTGACAAAAGGCTAGGCCCCAAGCTCGTGACAACCCGAGAGACAGTAACTTAATACGTTTAGTCGGCGCTGTGTAACCTCTGCTACCGGGATATCGAAATACACGATGGACGGTGAATAATATCGCGGGAAGAAGCTTAAATTTAGAGCAATAATTGTGGAACGATTGCTTCCTTATGTCGAACAGCGCCGCGTGTCTCTTGGCTTCGCGCCAGAATTTAATCTCCGAGTCTTCCTGTCGCTTGGAACAACATTTTGTCATTTAACTGTAATTCCGTATTGGAATACGTGTCTTAAAATTGTTATTTAAGTTTAATAATTTTTTTTCACATTAACAATTATTTACATCCAAATGCAAAGAGTAGTATTAATGTCATTTTGATGGCGACTCTAGAATCGATACTTATTGATGTTAGTATGGCACTAAATTGGTCCCTTCACTAACGATTTATAATGCCTCGATGATGATTTATTACCGCTCAATAATTGTCTAACGCACGCGACGGAGTTCGATTAGCGTGTTTGTCCAGCACTGATTAATTCTACTTGCGTTGGGTGTTTCTAAAGCAGTTTTAATTGATTCTAATCAGTTGGAGCATAGTTACAAACACCAACACATGTAGCAAAAGGCTTCTTCATACGAAAAAGCATTGTTTCACTTTGGCTTACAATATTAAAATGTCAACATTGCAGACTAGAATTTATTCTGCACGCAACTGATTAGTTACGTTAACACGAACAGTTCTCATAGGTCAAGCGTCTAGGATCGATGATTCTCTAAGAAATAAAAAATTCATATAGTTTAAAACAAACTCAAGGACTCGTAATTCCGTGTTGACGCGATAATGGTTCTGAAACTCACTGAAAGTTAATATTTATTGCAGCAGACGATCCGGGCAAACGAAAGAGACCTCCAGCCCAATCGGTCCGATGAAGTCGCGGGCGATCGATCGTACGAACAGGTAAGCTTCGTTCGTCTCTCTGATTACACGTTGGCGTGACCGATGCGCAATTCTTTTAGGAAAATACGTAGAACGTAGTTTAAATACACGTCAGTAGTGTGCATGAGGAGAACGAAAAGGGACAAGGTTGTTTCCAAATTACTAAATACTTGAAAAACAGAATGTACGGGCACCATGCTCTATAGATATGTAAAGACCTTCTCCCGATATCAGGCGTACATCCTTGATCCTGTTTCCTTATCCTCAGGCTACCCGAAGACGAGTCCGGACCGCTAGCCTTTCGACCTGCGCCCCCTGTTAAAAGAACCTCCCACCTTCCTGTACCGCCCTTAAAGCATAAAACTCTCGAAGAATTCGACGACTCCCAGTCGCAGAAACTCAGAATACAACCACGAACGAGGCACGAGACTCTTAACTGTAGATCCAAGCAGGAAACGAGACATCTACACTCAGCCAGATCTCAGAAATCCAACATCGTCTCCGCCAGGAGCCAGGGTAAACCTAAACTGAACGACGTTTCTATCAATGTGGATGTCATGGCTATGACAGTGAAACCCTGCAGCATACACAAGGGTCACGAGCTTACTACGTGGAAGAAGATCAGTCAGGAGAAGGATCAAACGTCCAACGAGTCAAAAGCTCGAGGTTCCAGGCTGAACAATCAGAAAAAGCATTCTGTGAACGAGGATCAACCGGTGAACGTTGCTGTGGACCTGGTGTCCGAGGATGCACCCAAGGAAACGAGTAAAACCTCGAGGAATCTAAGTCCCATCAACTGGCCACTGGTCACTCCTAGATTGAATCGAACCTACTCGTTCAAGAAGTATGATAGTTCCGAAGAGATGCACTTGGAGAGCCACAGAAGATGGCCACCGGTAAGGCACAGTCCTCGAGTGGAGTTTTGTTTGGGGGACCTGGAGAGAGTCAGTCGGTTGCATTCTTCCATCGGTGCTGCTTGTTCCAGGGAATTGGAGGAGAACCAGCGCTCCAAAAATGCTCGTGGGAGCTCGAAGAAGGAGGTCGAGGAGGAATCAGAATATTCTGAGATCAAAAACGAGTGTCTGGAGTCTGAACGATTTGAGACCACCAGGAGCAACATTCTGGAGAAGAAGCGATTGAGGTCGCCAGCTTATGCTTTGAATGATTTGGAAACTGTTCATTCTGAAATGAATCTTTTGGGAGAAAATGAGAATGGCCTGTCTGAGACGAGAGATGAAAGCATATTGCGCTGTGTGGATCTCGAGTTCTCTGGGGATCTAGCTAGCCAAAGTGGCGATGCAAAGGGAGAAGGTATTGCGTTATGTGAAGGGAAAGAATCTGATCTATATCCTGACGAATTCCAGGATTTGATAGTCGAGAAAGACGATGCAATAGCTGAACGAGAAGCTGCAGATATCGATAACTTGAAGGAAGAGATGGAGTCTGATGTGAGAAGCATTGCTGAGCCTTTCAAAGATGAGCTCGAATGTTCTGCTATGGAACCAGAGTACAACGATGATCTTGCAATGTTCTGCAACATCGAGTCAAATTTAATCGAGATGGAAGCTGAACCGTTGCTCATGATAGACGTGTTACGTCCAAATAGATCCAGTACTCCGTTCGATGATGTGGAGAACTGTTGCAAAACGGATGCAGAATGTAACTCCAAAAGGCACGAAAATTTCAAGGAAGAATCGTGTTCCGTGGACGAGTGGAAACTGGACGTGGATGTAGAAAGGGGGACAGAATTGTTGTACCGCGTCGAACCCGAGGATTTAGATCCTTCTAGGATCCACGACGAGGTTCAGGAACTAGAGAAGACTAATTTCGAAGGGGAAGCCATTTCCAAATGTTCGAGCAACTATCCCAAGCAAGATAACAATGTCTCTAGCACCGTGTCTCCAGAAGTACACAATGAGGAACAAGTTGGAGCTCAAGAACAGCTTAGAAAAGACATTGGCAGTCAAACGAATATATGTAAATGTTCTTTTAAAAGTTTCAAGCGTGAAGAAAGTATCCAAGTAGATCAACTTTGTAATAATTTTGTAGAGGAAAGGAATACAAGATTGTGTCAGACTATTATGGAAGAATGTTCAGAGATGCAAGTTGCTTCGAGAAAAATTGACTCCAAAGAAACTGATGAAGATTGCAAGGTGGGTACAAAAGATGACAGAGATCTGGATACCAGATCGATTGTCGAAACGGAGGAAGTGCAAGAGATTTACAAGAATTGCAGGTCCAATAATTTTGACTACGACAGCGATAATGCAGACGCGGTGAACGCGATGAAAACAGCAGAAGAGAACGATAAGATCGACGTACGAAATTTACGATCGATAGTTTTGTCAGAGTCGCGAGTCAAGCTGAAGACTTCGTCCACGAGTCGATCGACTCTGAAGTCCCGTCGATCGAAAGAGTTGGAGATGGAAGGTAGAATCCTCGAAAGCAGGAACAGCAGCGATAGTTTGTCCACCATAGACGCGATGGAAGTGACCGATATTCGACAAGTCGAATCTGTCGAGGTGGAGACTATCGAGGAGTTCGGTACGAGGAACAGAAGCATCAGATTCAGAATATTGCCCGAGATCAAAGGGGCCACGGTGGAGGTGAAGAAAAATTACGGCGAAGCAGAGACGATTAACGCTCAAACGTATTGGGAGAAGGCGTCCAAAGCCTCGAAGAATCGATTGATCAATCTCGATCCGCCGTATCAGGGGGCGAGCAGGTTCCTTAAAAGAAATCCCAAAGTTCGTATCCTTCCTCCTGTTCCTAGTGCCTCGTCCTTGATAAAGTGCAGGTAGAGAAAAGATTTTAAATTCATTGTATTTGAAAACGTTCCCAAAATTTCTTTTTAAACTTAGTTCAGAGACACCATGCTCGCAAGGGGGCCATACAGTCGTGTTGCTTTTGAAACGATAGCAAGTGTAAGTTATACACCTAGTACCAAGATAATAGGTTTCTTTACAATGGACCTTCATTTTCGAGATATTTTTATTTAAAGTTTGGTACGTACAAAACATACGAATTATTTAAATTTATTTTAGAGAAGAGGATTTGGTCAAGTGGGTAGAACGATTGGTTACGACGCTTTTGGTTATGAGTTCGAATCCCCGTCAAGTGACTTTTTTATATGAATATTAAAACGAACAATCCTTCAATTTTTAATACTACTTGCACCTGCTGTCTTTTCAAAAATAATATTCACGACTGTAGGGTAAATTATATAAAATTGGGCGGGCAGGATTCAATCTTGTCTAATCAATTGCACATTGAAGATATCGACTGCACTGTACATGTAAGGAACATTTGTGTAGCGACTCCCGTATCCCTGTTTCGAATGAAACTTTACCGAAACCCCCGAAAAAATTTCATAGAAATCAGGGAGGGGGGAGGACTATCACGGATCTTCCATGTTAGAGATCCTAACACGCGTACGATATTGTAGGAATTTGACACTGCCATTACGTCCCGTATGGAGCAATTACGTGCGCAGAAGACCGGATTTTAATCTTGTACTTAGCGGTAGAACGTAAGTTTCAGGCGGTCGAACGAATTGCCAAGTCAGATTTCTGGTTTCGTTTTCGCGAAAATTGTGCACTCGGATCGTTTGTGCTTGAAACCTCGTCAAAACGACCACAGAGGGCGTCTCGAACCGCAAATTTAATCTTGGCACGTTCGTCGGTGTATTCTGCATATCGCATGCGTATCGCCCACGCGAGTTTACCCGTCACTTCGTGCAAAGATTTGCTTTGGAAACTGGTCGAAGAACATGCTTTGAGTGTTTGTCCTGAGGCCGAAAGGCTTGACCGATTTACCGAGTACACGTCGTTATCTCGTCACCGATTTATCGTCGCAGTTCATCGATCGTACTTTAGAGTAGAGAAAACAGTTTTTCGTCCGACGGATCGAACTCGTCCACGCATGAATGGAAGAAGAAAATTGTCTGGCAAATTTTCTTTCACCAGCCTCGTTCCGTTTCTCACAGCACGTTTAAACACTCTGACCATCACCTAGTTCCAAACATGGCTGACGGTTCGAATTAGCCGATTGCAGACAACTTAACAAATTACAAAAATTATCAAACTAACGAAGAAAGACGATTCGGAAGCGAATATTATTTTTAATTTGCATGGAAGCCTGGAGAACATTCTGAACACAATTGCGGTTAGGTTAGGTCACGCTGAAGGCATATGGCGCTGTTGGCAGAAATTTTATCGGCTTTCTCATCGTGTTCCGTTGCTCGTGACCGGAGATGAATTTCATAATAAGATGAATTGCATAAACGTTTTCGACCGTTGTTCATCTTTGCTCACGACCAACGCGACGAACGCTCATTTTTAATCATGATTGAACGTGATATACGCGTTTGATTGTTCGAATGAACCAAGTGGTCGATTATTTAATTTAAATCGATCGTTCCGGTCGAATTATCGTTTAAATTGAATGTTTCTTAAATTCGAATTTAACAGTACTGATGTATCATGCACTATCATTCATAGCGCGATAGTGAAGGCGTTGATTCATAGCACTTCTTCAATTAGCTTTTACGAAAATTATTTGATCAGCAACATTCTCGAGATGAAATGAAACTGTAGGCCACACGTCGCACCAGTTACTTCGAAGACGTTTCTTTTTACAATTTTTTCCATCAGTGGATTGAGTAATGTGGCGTCATCTCCCGTACTCGCCGCCAGAGGGCTACGCTGTTGTCTCTCGCGCAAGCGTTTGACCAACCTCTCTGTTCCTATATGTACACTCCACCGACTACCTAATATGCCTCTCGATCCTTCTCACTTGCTCCACCAGCGAAACAGCGCCACAGTAACATATTTATTTCGCGTTTTTTCACCTTGGAACTCCACATAATGAATTGCACATTGATGAGACAGTGGAAATCCTCTCCTAGGGTTAATAAAATCGATTTTAACGGGTTAGATTGTCACCAGCTTTGCGCCAAACTATTCCAAAAGGAAACGTCTTCCGCAGGGTCCCGTCACACTATAAAAGCTTCTTCGTGCTTTCAGCGGTAAGGATTACGATCCCTTCTTGCTGGCAGAGCAGCAGATGAACGACCTGCTCTCGGACGCTAGCGAGCAATCCGTGACGGATAGTCCGCCGATTGAGCAAAACCGCAAAACTTCGTTTCCACTCTCTCACTCCTCCGCTTTCGTGAAGTATCCCTACCAACCGTCTCCTTCTCGACCGGAGAAACGATCGTCCCTGATAGCACCACCCACGGAATTCGACGACCTCGCTACCGATTTCTCCAGCGACTCGACCGAGACCAATTCGCTGTCCCGCGAGGTTTTCCTGAAGGATAGCAAAGATTTCAAGGAATCTCTCTCGAAATCCGACGTAGAAAAGAGATCACCGGTCAGGGAGCTGGGTAGACGAGTGATCATCGACAGATCGAGAGCTTTAGGCGGAGAAGTCGAGGACGCTGGTCGCGGTAGCAGAACGGAGAAAGCTCGCAAGATCCTCGACAAGGTCTCGCCCAAAGTTATACGACCTACGGTGAATCGTTCGTTTTCCGTTCGAGCCGCCTCCGCTCCTAAAATGGCGGCCACCGACAGAAAAACCTCGAACGGTACTCAGGATTCCAAGGAATCGTCTCAGAAATGCAACGACGGTCAGAGGTCCTCGAACGCCATCTTGAACAGTAGAAATAATAATTACGTTAACCTTTCGGGCAGCAACCTCAGCCTCAGCTCCATAGTGTCCTCCGACGTGGACATCAAACGATCGAACTCCGTTTTCGACGAGTTGATGACCTCGTTCGAGGACGAGAACGATGGCTCCTTTCCGTCCTTGAAATCCCTCCTAAAGAACGATTCCTTGTCCGTGACTAGCCCCGTACGAGGCAGACAACGGGGCGATCAGGCCAGCGACGAGGATCTCTCATCCCCGGAGAGCTACAAGAGGCAGGACCATAGCAAGCTCAGTGGGGACTCGGCGTACAGCAGGTTAATATGCACACGTATTACGATTTCTAGTTCTAAACATGGAGAGACGAGGACAGTTTTGGAATTTTATCAAAGATAAACTACTTGAGTCGTTGGTTGGTTTGCACCATCGTTTATACATATCTAGCTCACCGTAATTCTTTTTCAAACATACAGGCTACTTACGCAATCGTAACAAGAATGTACTCTTGAGGTTGACATGATTCTTTGAGTTTAACGATATTGTCAACCGTTAGTTTCTCCTCGTCACAAACTTCCCTTGCAAGAATCAGTGTTTTTGTTATACTACTCGATTACACTATTTCACAAGTCTTATTTATATAACATTGAGCAGATAATAGAGATATAAATGAAAAAGCTATTTACATAATTCTTATATTATTCGACTATACGGCTGTTTCTTGGAATTGTCGAAGAGAAAAGAGCAGAAAAAGTGTTCGAGTTTGTAATTAGTCACAGCACTGTATCTTTAACGTTGAGACTGTGGCGTCACCTCTCGTACTCGCCACCAGAGGGGTCGCGCTCTCGCAAGTGCTCGACCGACCCCTCCATTCCTATATACAGGGTGTTCGGCCTAAAAATTTTAATGAGAGATTCTAGAGGTCAAAATAAGACGAAAATCAAGAATACTAATTTGTTGATGGAGGCTTTGTTAAAAAGTTATTAACGATTAAAGTTGCGGCTGTAGAATGGCAATTTGACCACCTACTCGAATTTTTTTCTCGAGACTGCGTAGGATTTCGGGGGTATGTCTATTCACCAAAAGTGATTCTAATTGACCCCCGCAGCTAGAAATAATTTTTTCAGAATGATTTGAAATTTTTTAACGTATTTTTTTTTTTAACTTTTTAATGAAGCCTTAATTTAGAAACACCCTGTATACATTCCTCGACCGACTACTCAATATCCCTCACTTTCCTACAATCTTTCTCACCTCCTACACCTAGAAAAAAGCGCCACAGGACCTTTCACCCCATTCCTCGTGACAAGTCTAATTGTTGCTTCGACGAGTTTCGACATTCTCGTAGTAACATGTGTCAAATTCTAGCCGTGTGACGTGTGAATCACGCTTACGCCATAACATCCCCCCCGACACCCTGCAACCCCCTGCATGCCTAAAACCCCGTTCGATGTGTTTCTCCTAGTTTAAATCGCAAATATTCGCACCACGGACGCAGCACGAACGACGTGGCGGGACGCCTGGAGGAGGACTCGAGGCACCAACGACGCCACGACGACGGCGTCGCGACGTCCACCAAGTGCAAAATGTCCAAGTTTTGCCACGAGTGCGGTTCCAAGTTCCCGGAAACGGCGAAGTTCTGCTGCGAGTGCGGCATCAGAAGACTCGTCCTCTGAAGAACGAAGCTTCTCGTGGACCAAGTAGACGTATTTGAAACGGAATATTCCATGACACACTTTGTTAGGTCACGGTCGAGAAGTACACTTAATATATACGCTGAATAATATTAACTACGTTTCTACCAAAAGGTGTCTCGCGCGAAATGGCGTTGAAAATGTTCGATTCGAGGCAAGCTGAACGCGATCCGAGTAATCGTAATTCATGCAGGTCCTTCAGAGTACGAATAGAAAGGTATCACGAGGGAATTGAATGAAAAAAATTATTTTAAATATCCGTAAACGATTATTAGGGCAGCTAAAGTTTAAACCACTACTCTAGTCACTTGTTCCCGGTCATCGAGAGTTCTAACGACGGTGGATGAATTTAAATTCACAGTATTAGGGGATCATACAGATGGGACGAACGTCAATTGTAGAAGATAGCGTCGAGGAAATAATCCGTAGCCGTGTGATTATATTTGTTCTGTGAGATAATGTCGATTTGTAGGATTTACGTTACGCTGTATCAACGCAAGGATTACGAAAATTTAATTAGAATCCAATCCTGCGTCGTTGGTTTTCGTTTGATTCTGTGAAGCTTGTTCTATTTTAAAATACGAGTTTGTAATGTGTTCTGTTGTTCGTTTTAAAGGCTACCGTATACTCTTAAAATCGTAAAACCACTTTTTAATACCCTGTATACCGTAGACGTTGACCAGAAAATAATGGACGGATATATGTACCAAATAAATTCCATTTAATTTACAATAAGCATAGTTACCGTTGCAGAACGTCACGTTTGCATTTTTTACGCTCTACGTGTTAGGAGCCGAAGAAAATAATAACTGAAGCTGGAAATAATGTACCTAAATGCAATTCAGATTTATTTCTCTTCGTCTCCAAACAGTACAGCGGTGTTCGACATTCTTTTGTTCAATTTTGTATTTATTACCGTGAACGAATAATTTAATATATGGACGTCTGTCTTCTTTTTTACGAAACTCCTAGTGTAACCGTTTTATAAGCTTTTTATACGAGTGACCACAAGGGAAACACAGAAGAAACAGATTACAGTAAAGGTGATGAGATAAACCACGTTACTAATGCACTGACAAAACATTTTTTATTTCCTTTTTTAACATAGTCCTTACGTTTTCCTGATTAAAATGAGAACGAAACACGACATAATTCGAATGACTAATGTAAGAAAAATTACAAGAAAACTAACAGTCGATAACATTACTCAACGAAGTATAGTGTTTCTTCGATCACGTTAATTTAGTTTTAGTTAAAAGTCCAACGCGCGTTACCATTATTTATTTTGAATAGTGACTTTATTTTTACGAATAAAATTGTACATTTTCGATATTATAAAGTGTTAAAACATAAAAGTGAAAATAAATGTATTCGAAGTACCTGTGTGGATTCAGTTTCATCCCGACACGAAACCGTTTACAGGTTAGTCGAGCAAACACGTTTTGCGTTTATTCTGATCTTTGCATAAACGAAATAACTATAATTGTTGGAAATATTCGGATAGAATTCGTTATTGATCGTCGAAACGCGTTATTGAGGATAAATTACGAGTGGATACTAGTACGTTTATGGTTGTGAAAAATGTCCGCGGTTTTTACACCTTGAAAACAGCGTGTTTGCTTCTAGCTTCTTTTAACAAACGACGAACGTGCGAGAAATCAAGGTTTCCGGTGTGTAATGGCTGCCGAGGTGGACACAATTCACAGAAACGGTTTGAAATGTTACGAACTTTAAGTCGTCTGCCACGAATTCTCGCAAGGAACAACGATCACCAAAGTCTGCCCGCGCTGGGCAGGGATTTCAATGCCTCGCTGACGCAATTATTTCTCCCACAACCTCAACGCTCGGGCAGAAAAGGTTCGCGGTGCATCCACGTAAACGTCAGTCCAGGGGAGAAAGCGAAATGTGGCAACGAGAACGGTGACAATGTAAACAATATTCGATATAATTCTCAGGGTTCTTGGAAAGCTATCAACAAAATCTGAAATTTTATCTTGCAGAACTATCCCATGATAGATCACTGTTACGATGTCGTGATCGTGGGCGCTGGTGGTGCGGGATTAAGAGCAGCGTTCGGTTTAGGTAACTACGAGTCGTTAAAAAATTTAATGGCTGACCAAAGCATTGGAATAGTGTTCACCCTTAAATCTATCGTCCTATTGTTAAATAGGAAGTAAGGGATTCCGGGTAGCAGTAGTCACGAAATTGTTTCCGACGAGATCTCACACGGTGGCCGCTCAAGGTGGAATAAACGCCGCCATCGACATCGAAAAGGAGGACAGCTGGCTCTACCACATGTACGACACTGTGAAAGGGTCTGATTGGCTGGGGGACCAAGACGCCATACACTTTATGACGAGGGAGGCACCGCAGGCAGTCTACGAGCTGGAAAATTATGGTGAAACCCTCAAATATAACCCAGACCTGAAATAGGCTTAATGTGTAAAAAAAAATTATTTAATAAAAAAAAATAAAATTATGGAATCAAAAATATAAAATAAAATATCCACTGTTGTTCAATGGATTTAAAATAATAATTTTGTTTCCATGCTCTCTCCTAAATCCTCCTACGATGCACAACATATTGTAGAAACGTTTAGAAGTCTTATATTGCATAAGAAATATACTCTAAACAAAATGGCTATTTTTATTTTTGTATCAAATATCTTCTAGGAATTCGACAAAATTTAAGAGCGACTGTTTTTCAGGCTGCCCCTTCAGCCGCACGGACGACGGAAAGATCTATCAACGAGCGTTCGGCGGTCAGTCTCTGAAGTTTGGAAAAGGCGGTCAAGCTCACAGAACTTGCGCCGTCGCGGATAGAACCGGTCACGCGATGTTGCACACTTTATATGGACAAAGTCTGCGTTACGAAGTGCATTATTACGTCGAGTACTTTGCTCTTGATCTTCTTATGCACGGTCGGTGCTGCAAGGGCGTCCTAGCATGGGAACTAGAAACTGGACTGTTGCATCGCTTCAGAGCCCATCACACGGTAACGGAGTTTTTAAAGATTTACAACGAACGATACGTGCTAATCACAAAATCAACTAGAACCGATATATCTGTAACGTGGCATTTATCGGTTTTGTAGATTGTTTTAATTCAGCTGTTTTCTGCGTGATTTAACGCGCGATATCACACAGTCGATGTTTTTCCTAGATGTTGGCGTCAGGTGGAGCTGGAAGATGTTACTTGTCCTGCACGGCTGCGCACGCATGCACGGGCGACGGTTTGGCGATAGCATCTAGAGCAGGATTGCCACTTCAAGATATGGAGTTCGTCCAGTTTCATCCAACCGGTATTCCACGGCAAAGAGAACAACATTTTGCGTAGGAAACGCTTTCCGCGTTTAACGTGCCGACTTTTCCGTTAGGAATATACGGCAGCGGCGTTCTGATAACGGAAGGGAGTCGAGGGGAAGGTGGAAAGCTGATGAATTCCGAGGGGGAATTTTTTATGGAACGATATGCACCCAACGCGAAAGACCTCGCGTCTCGCGATATAGTATCCAGAGCGATAACCATGGAAATATTCGAGGGAAGGTGATGCTATATCCGCGGAAAATTAATAAATGACCTAAATTTTACAACTACGGGGTATAAACTCTAACAAAGAAAGTTATACCTCGTACATATACAGGGTGTTCGGCCATCCCTGGAAAAAACTTTAATGGGAGATTCTAGAAGCCAAAATAAGACAAAAATCAAGAATATCAATTTCTTGACTGAGGCTTCGTTAAAAAGTTATTAAAAAATTAAATTGAAAAATTTCAAATCATTCTGAAAAAATTATTTTCAACTGCGGGGGTCAATTAGAATCATTTTTGATGAATACACATACCCCCGAAATCCTACTCAGTTTCGAGAAAAAAATTCAAGTAGGTGTTGAAAGTTTTGGGTGAAAAAAAAGAATTTCGAATCGTCTTAGAAAAATTATTTTTAGTTGCGGAGGTTAATTACAATCATTTTTTATCATTAGACATATCCTCGAAATCCTACCCACTTTCGAGAAAAAAATTCGAAAAGGTGTTTAATTTTCTGGCGAAATTTGAAATTTCAAATCTTTCTGGAAAAATTATTTTCGGTTGCGGGGGTCAATTGCAAGCATTTTTGGTCATTAGACATACCCTCGAAATCCTACCCACTTTCGAGAAAAAAATTCAAGAAGATGGACAAATTTTTCGTCGAAATTAAAAAATTTCAAATCATTCTAAAAAAATTATTTTCGGTCGCGGGGGCCAATTACAATTATTTTCGGTGAATAGGCATACCCCCGAAATCCTGCGCATTTTCGAGAAAAGAATTCAGTACAGGCGGAACTTTAAATGTCAATAACTCTTTAACGAAGCCTATTTTGACCTCTAAAATCTCCCATTACAATTTTTCCCAGGGTTGGTCGAACACCCTGTATGGGGAGTCCCGTAAAACAAGCTTACGTTTGTTAACCTAACTTTCGGTTGTCAGCGTACATGTTAAACGACACGAACTCATAAATTACTGTTCTTTCTAATACTGGGTCCGTGCATTGTACCGAGGACTTAATTTCAGTTTCATTTTGCCTTTCGAAGCGATAATTAATTAAAACATTCGCTCGTAATGCCTTAGAGGCGTCGGTGCTAAGAAAGACCACGTGTATTTGCAACTGGATCATTTGCCAAAGGAGGTAATACGAACAAAATTACCTGGGATTTCGCATTTGGCTTGGGTGTTTGCTGGCGTGGACGTGGAAAAAGAACCGATTCCTGTTATTCCAACGGTGCACTACAATATGGGTGGTATACCTACAAATTGGCGCGCACAGGTGAATTGTAAGGCCGCAGTCCCACTTGTGTAAAGCCGGCTCCACCGTATCGGACTGTCGATCGAATGTCCTAGCATTGGCAGGGGCGAATCCAGGGAAGGGATCCCCCCTGGAAGTTACGATATCTTTAAAAAATATATTCACATTTCCCCGTCCCCAAACTGGGCTTCAAAATCCACCACCGACTGGGTAGATTAACTGTACCAGTTATTCGAATCCTCTACACAAATTGTTGAAGCGAGATGACCAAGATAAAACTTACCTCCCTAACGTTGGAATCTTAATAGGGAAAGGATGTACTTTATCGTATCGTACGTGTGCAATCAACAACTCTGAACGGTCAGTTGTAACGCCCACGTGGTGCGAATGAACTTCTGACTCTCGATTTAAAGATGCCGCCACCGGGGGCGTAAACGATACTTAACGCTTGATTCAGAGATGACGCCCCAGTGGCGTCGGTGGACCGTGTTGCGTCAATTGCGTTCCGTGTCGCGCGATACACAAGTGGGGCCTGTAACCTTAGAAAAAATAACGAGAGAACATGTCACTCGAAGTATGTAATAACGTGCAACGAGTGAATCACCGATCGCTAATTCCCTCGACAAGGTTATAACGCGAGAGAACGAGGAGGACCATGTGATCGAAGGACTCTGGGCGGCGGGTGAAACTGCGTGCGCATCCGTTCATGGCGCCAATCGACTGGGCGCCAACAGTCTGCTGGAACTGATCGTCTTCGGTAAAGCTATCGCCGATCAAATCGATTGCATGACCAGACCTGGTGAGCGCCACGAGGATGTATCAACCGTAAGGATATGCTCTAATGTCGTCTTAATTGCCCACGATTATTTACTAAGAGACCCCTCGTATTCGTCGAGACAGAGACGGACGAAATAATTAAATATTTCACAATTAGCAAATAACAATTTAATTATACGGTCGAGTAACGTCACGAATAGAGCGCTGTGCAAGGTTTTATTTCTTATCATTCAAATGAAATGGTATATTATTTAAATAACAGCAAAGTCATAAAACGTATTTTCATGATATCTTAACTTATTCACGATAAAAACAACTACTGTTAGAATACATAAATCATAGTGTCTGCCTAAAAATTCGTACGCGAGACAAACGCCAACGTTTCACGAACTGTACGTATGGAAAATTTATGACCCGAGTAAGACGGAACAGATTTCACAGGATTAACACACGAATCCTTTCCCTTCCATAAATCATGCCCAATTTACCGAAAGCTTATGCCTGAATACGTGCAATATACCATTGGCCAATTTCTCGCACGCCTCCCAAATATTTACCCAAACTTTTCTGTGTGTTTTTAATTCTGAGAGGGTCACTAATATCTCTATAAAGCCGCATGTAACTTCGAGCGACCGACACGTTTTCAGCAGTGAAAGTAAAAACAGCCTTCGCGTGTGTTTTCTGTGATTTATTGCTGCTAAGTCGAGGTTAAAATTGAAACTCGAACGAAACGAAGTATCGATAATATAATATCGCGTTTAATTCTACGGCGACTACGTAAAATATTCACGCTTTTAACGCGCGAAAGCAACCGTTTCCAAGCATCGGCGGCATTTCTGCTAACCTCTACACGCACGCTGTGTTTACATTTTTTCATAGTCGCCTCGAAGTTCACTCGGAGGTGAAATACTTTCGATCGTTTCACTTTTAGAGCGTCTCATTTTATCTCGCAACGTATTTACGAACAGGCTCTTAGCGATCAATCTATTTGTCGTTTCGATGCGACCCGTTACGCGAAAGGCTGCGTTCCCGTCGCGGAGCTGCGGGAGGAGATGCAGCAAACAATGCACCGATATTGCTCGGTGTTCAGGACCTGTCACATACTGCAACGAGGATGCCGCGAGATGACGCGGCTTTACACCTGCGATCTACCGGATATATGTGTAGGTGAATTGATCGAAATTTCCCATTGTTACTCTTTTGATCTCCCCAATACGAATGCACGCTAATTGTTTTGATCGCCGCCCGTTGTCGAGTATTTACTTCCATTTTGTGCCGCATGATGGAACCAGAAATATGTTAAAAAAAAAACAGGTTCAAGACCAGTCCTTGATTTGGAACACGGAACTCGTGGAAGCCATAGAATTACAGAACATGATGCTGGTTAGTATGCACATTGTTTACGCGGCGGAGAATAGAAAAGAGTCCCGTGGATCGCATGCTCGTGACGACTACAAGGTACACATTTGCATAATGATCGCGTTTCGGGATCGTTCGAACGCGGAATGAACAAGGAAATCGTACTTGCAGGAAAGATGCGACGAGTACAATTACACCCAGCCGGTCGAAGGTCAAACGAAACGACCATATAGCGAGCACTGGCGCAAACATACGCTTACATGGGCTCGAGAGGATGGATTAGTAAGTTATCTAAAGCGGAAAATTATTACTATTAAGATTCGACATCGACTTCAATTTGACCTTCGATGAAAGACATTGGACGTCTCATTATTTCAAATTGCACGCTAAAGTTGCAATGTCAGTGTTGCGTGACACATTTTCTAACGTTTTTTTTTTTTCCGTTCCATTCTCAATGGTATGCCTCTACGAGCATGTTACGTAATTACTTACAGTCACGCTTTTTTTTTTTTCTTTTTTCTACCGTCGTAAAACATCTGAAATTCATGATTTTGCAGATCAGTATATCATACCGGCCAGTCATCGATTCTACATTGGACGAGGCTGAGGCTAAGCATGTTCCGCCAACGGTTCGAATGTATTGACAAGATAGGACTCGTGGTGTATAATTTTTTGCTTCGAAACGCAGTCAACGTTACGCGTTCGCCGGCGTAATTAAAACCAGCGGAGAGGCCAACGTTATCGTGAAATTGTAAAAGCGGCCAGACTCTGTCATACGACGCGCGTGCCCCCTATACGTTCCGTTCGCCGCGTTTAACGCGACATATTATACAACTAATTAATTCCAACCGGAGGCGCAGACCCGTATGCCATCTTATTTGCATATTCGAACGACGAAATGCCATACTTAATATGTAGAATTATATTCTTCCATGTCTGACAATTTATTTGTATTTTTCTTTTATCGACCACCGAACATCATTTATCGGTGTGAATCAATTCTGTACAATTTATCTTTTTTTTTTTTTATTTTTACAAACGTTCCAAGCATTCGACAAATCTATTTTCAGCAAATTTTTGTGTACATTTTTTTTAACGTGTCCGATGTGGCAAATAGTTCTGAAATTTATGTCACAGAAACTGACACAAATTTTCAGCGGTGGCGTGCGACCACAAAACCATCAGTACCTGATTTACGGTGAAATTGAGTTATAAACAGTTGAAATGTACGAAAGGAAATATAAACAGATTAAAAAAACGACGTTGTGATTTGCTGAACACTTTGCACTGCATGTTTTTTTAGGTTAAAAAACTATGCGTTTAGAATACATGCGATAATCATAATTTATATAGATGTGCGAATCGCCGGTAGCCACTTGCGTGCATGTACGGGGTGTCCTAAACGTCGAGTATATTTGCAAAATAAAATTCCAAACAGACGTCTCGATGACAAAAAGAAACCATTAACTAGACCATGAAATCTCCATAACACTACCACCTAAACAATAATTATTCCCACTGTATGGGTGTTCATTTTTAAACCGAACATAACCTCAAACATTAGAGACGAACTTTGTAAACATTATAAATTTTATAAACCTGTACACAGGGTGGACAGGATCAACCAAGAACGAAGCGATTATACGTGCAAAGATACATTGAGAATGTAGGAAAGAATGTTTTTTGAGAAAATCGATGCTGAAACTGCGCCGTCCACGCGCACGCTTGACTTTGAAATGAAGGGTTGACCAAAATGTTTGACCCAGTATAATTCGTTCTCCCTGTGACACGGTGCATCACAGGACACCCTGTAGATGCGAGCAAACCTGTTCCGCGGAGTACTCCTACGCCTACCAATACTTGAATAACTATCGTGTTGGTAGCATCTGGCCGAGCAGCGTGTGCATAGAATGCCCCACCATATGGTACAAGGATTACCTATATGTAAAGGAGACGAGCCTACAGCGGATCGACCAATAGGGAAATGAGTTACGCGACGTGCCGTCAACCCCGCAACCACGACGAATCTGTTCGTTTCTTTTTTTTTTTTTCCTAGTCATCTGTGCTGGGAAAAATGAAGCACTGTTAAGCGCGCGAACCGTTACGTGTCTGCGCTAACAACCTCGTGAAACAGAAAATTTTTTGCATCGCCGAAGTTCGGGCAATATAAAACGCAAACAATCAGTCGTATAATCCGAGGTCCGTGTCCCGAAGCGTTGTAATCTAGACGCTTGAAACGCGACACAAGCAAAACCGATGTACCATCTAATAATAAACGATAGAATTCGAATTTCAAAATAGACTTTCTAAAAATATCGAATACCCTTAGAAATGCGGTTCGATATTTACATTTCGTTGTATTTACGTGTCAATTGGCGTACACAGATTTATCGCTTAGATTTAGAGGGGCTTCCAGTAGCGATGGGACCGAGTCGTGCTTGGAGATGCTATCGATACGTTGACGTCAGAAATCGATTTTCTTGTATCAATGGAAGGAGTGTTTACAAACGGTTCGAGTCTTAACGAGACATGTGACTGTCGTATCGATGAGTATCAATTACGTCAAGTTTAATACCTGTTTATAATTCACATCAGAAATAAAACAAGCGACGGTGTTGCGGCCAATGGCAGCTGACGGATAATAAAAATTTCTGCTTGACGCTCGATAGCTGTCTTATTATTATTTAGGCGATTGCCCTCGCATTTACATGTTTTTAAACACACAGTAATTGTATTAAAAAATTTTAATTTTCGTTCGAATAAAATTTCCTTGGAAACACAACGAATAACGAATATTAATTATCTACGTAAATATTAGTTGGAGATTATTCTAATAACGTTCGATTGTAATATTTCATCAGCCACATCGTCGTGCTGTTGTGATCTCAATGTACTTGGTGTACGAATTACATCGATAACACAAGGAGTATCAACAAGCACATTTTACCAATGTCAATGACTACTTATTTCGATATTTATTTGCTACCTCGACGCAATGCTTGGAAAGTCACCGAGCAGGTATCGACGTTAATGAAAATGACATTGAATCGGTCCCACCTCTAGTTCCTAGTCTAATATTCATCACTTAAAATACAGAGAACAGTGTGCAGCATATTATACGAGCTGTAGCGAATACTTTCCCTTGGGAAATCGCGCAATAGAACAACCACAAAATTCGAAATACCGTTAGCACCCCATTAACACGTAATGTGAAATGAGAACCGCTTTCGGATTTATTTCTTTCGCGGCATCGTTCAATTTTCCCGCCTACGGTTATATATTTTTCAACGCGTCGACATCGAAATTTCGAACGGTGCGTGGCTACCGTCGATCCGAAAATGCGTTCACCGGGCCCGGAACAAACGAAAACTACGGAAAAAATCGTCCCCGAGATCGAAACGAAAAATCAACGAGCACCTCGTAGGTGAGGTTAACTCGCGACGATACGATTGGCAGCACTGGTATTCATCTGAGAGCTTCCGCCAGTAGTCGGTACTCAACCGACTTGAACACTTCACGTCGCCGTGCAAGAAGTGCGGGAGTGAAGTTAACAAAAACTGGGGTTAGTTGAACGGTGTAGCCGAATCGCGCATTCGACAAAGAGGTGCGCGAATCGCCGTTAAAAACAAAAATTTTTATTCGAGACCGTGACACTGTGGAAAGATGAGCGGTCTATTGAAGCTGTCGTCTTTACTGGCGAGAAATACCCGTACAACAACGTTGGTAAGCCGTTTTTCATTAAGTTACATAATTTTTATTCCCACGATGATGCACCTTTGCCGTGCAATACTCGGCGTCGATCAATTACGTAAGTTTACCAAACACGCTCCGAGGAATCTCTGCATCGGATTCGCCCGGAAAATTTTCCTCGCGCCCGAGAGCATTCTGTCGTCTATCACGATCTGCTGACAAAAACGGAAACGAAACGGAATCGAAAATACAGTGTTCGGGGGCCTTGCAGTGACTTAGATGCGTTCGAGGGAAGAACGTTTAGCAGACGATTCTGACGTCGAGTGTCTTTTTTTACCGCACTTCCCTCATTTCATACGCGCCACCCCGTACGGTAGCCGGCTTGCACACAGTCACACTTTTCCGTTGTAAAATAATAACGGTGATTTCCGTTATCATCGCTGAGCAAACAAACGTTTGTTTTATCACAGTCTAGATGATTGAATTAAAACACGAGATACATACACCTATTACCATATTACGCTTTCGAAATTTTAACTTTTTCGGCTCTGGGTCTTTTCTTTAGATAAAAAGACAAATATTTGTCGCGTGGCTCGATAAATATAATTTAATCAAAATATTAGAAAATTTGAATATAGGCCTGCAAATGATTTTGTTGCTCTGCTAAGTATCCTTGGTAACTTGTTAAGAATAAGTATGTATATAATATAAAAACTTGCCATTATTTCGCTTCATTCTCAAAATTTCGATCTCTTTTTTTCTGGGCATTTTTCAAAAAAATATTAAAGGTTGAATCGATTGTAATATTACGCCCATGTATTTCGGGCCGACATGTATCTTAAATTTAATCGCGTACGATAAAGTAAATGGTGAATCATGTTACAGGACGAGGAAATTTCCAATTCTCCATAATCTAAATGTAGTTAAACCATGCATTATACTAAAAATACTAGACAATTAAAACGACAAAATAAATGCATAATATTGTTTGACCGTTCATCTAAACACAGATCAACGTATCTCAAGTTATAAGTGAAAGTCTTATCTAACGAATAAGTATAATTTTGTTATACAAAACGTAACATGTGTTGCAACAAAGATATTATTTTAAACGCTCGAAGCTGCAACGTCTCTCTCATAACCCATTGCAATAGTGCCAAACTGTTCGTGTTTCTTGACGTATGTAGATAAGTATCATGGAAAACGCTTAAACGGAAATAAATTGTGTATGACGTTTGTTATAGTATATTTACAAATAGTCTTAAAGTCCACGTACATTGCAATATATAGCGAGCCGAAGAGGTTAATTATAATTGCGGATGGGCCGCCGACACGGGAAGCTAGCATTAGCGGGAAATTACACTCTTGAAATTACGTTTTCGTTTGTTATCCACTTATTCGCCACACTACTTTCGTTCTTAACAATTTTATTCAAATCCTGCTCTGTTGGTACGCGAATACGCGATAGAATTATTTTATTAAATAATTTCTGAATTGCGTTTCCGTTAATGTATTTTCAGCGTTTAACTGTACCTTCCGAAACACGCAATATATCGAATGTCTTAATCTCTATTGCGAAAACTTTTCCCTTCTTCTAACCGAACGACGGAAAATGATAAATTACTGCTGAAAATATGAAACACTAAGTATTCTATCGACCATGTATCGTTTCGTTTAGTCTCCATATGGCGAAGTAGGTCAGTGTTTCTCAAACTTCACCTTCCCACGCCCCTCCACCTCTACAGTAAACGAAAATTTTTGGCGGACTCTATAAAGTACAAATAAATTATCACTTCTTAAATATAACAGGGAACTGTTTTTTTGTACATGTTATTTAATCAATGTTGTATATGTTGTTTAATAAATAAGAGATCTAAAGAAACGAAAATAACGAATTCTTATAAGTCTTCTTGGAATTTATTTACGACTGTATAGTAATAAATTTATCTATTACGAGATAGTATTAATGAAATGAAAGACTACTTCTCATAAATTAAGTGAGGAATGTTAAGTGTAATACTGGAAGTTGGTAGTCATAAATTCAGTTCCATGGTAAGTTTATTTCTATATTTAATTAATAGAACTAATGAAGAAAATAGTAATTAAAAACGACATCAAAACTTATTGCAGCCTCACTGATCATTTCTGGATTGTCAGATATTGTGTTTAACCAAAATTTAGCCAGAAGAAATTCTCATTGAGTTTCAATATCACTGTGGTGTCACAAGATAACTTAACAAGGCTATCTCTTGTTTAAAAACTAACATTGCAGCATCAGAGACTTCTGAATTAAAGGAAAATGTAATGTGAATTTCTAATTCCTAAAAATATTGCATCATAATATCTCTTTTTCGACAAAGTATTCATTTAACTGCTGAAGAAAGTTAATCTACATTGGAAATCATTGATTCCATCTTGAAGAACTGATCATAAATCAATTTGTTTATTTATATATATTTAGCTTTTAATGTAAACTATTATTTTCAAGCTGATATCGTTAAAAATTTTGATATCAATGAATCAAACATCATAAATTTAAGCACGCATATAAAATAAATGTATCTTTAGTACAGAGAATCTAACCAGCATGATTCCTTTTTCTGAAGACCTGGTCATAGCTATACTTATACTAAACATGAAACTATGTCAGTTTTTTCCTTCACAATAGCAGAACTAGATACATCAAGGATGCTAGAAACGCATGTTTCATTTCACCAAAGTCTTTCATCCAACATATTTCATGAATAAATTTATATTTATATAAAATCTGTGATTTTTCAGTGTATACATGTATATTGTGTATTATAAGTACAGAAATTTAAACAAATTTACACAAATTTACACAAAATAAGTACACAAAAGACTTATAAGTAAAGGTTAATTTTGTGCTCCAGATAAAAATACTCCTTTAATATCGATAAAATATTATGCATAAAATAAATAATATACTTTTTTTCAGCGAGTTTACGATCCTCCAAACACGTTCATGTTTGAGAAACGCTGTGTTAGATGATACTTTTATCGTGAAATCTTTATTTTCCTCGTGGTACGCGTAATTACTTATTCGTGTGTAATAAGCTTCCATATGTATGAATAATAAGTTCAGTAAATAGTAATTAATTAATTCCAGCTTGTACTTGTTATTGTTATTCAGTAACCCCATACGAAACTTAATTAACCTTGTTCTTTCTACTGAAATTCATTTTGACCAATTAATTGGATTATTTTGCATATTATTATATTTTAATTATTTTTATTGTAATTACATGAATCGTTATTACGTGCTAATTATCGATAAGACATGTTGTTATCGGAAAATATTGCAAAAAATTATGTATGATTTCCACGAGTGCTTAACCTTTGATCGAAATACTATTTTCACGATTTTATCGCGAAAAATATTTGAAAGCAAATTTTTAGTAAAAGTTGCGTGTCTTTCGAAAATGACAATTTTTTTAATTAAACAATTTCTGAATGTTGAAACCTAGCAGTCAGACGAATTATTCGTTAGATCGATCGTGTTTTATGACACAAGACTACTAGCGTTACATACATATGTATATCAAGTTTGTTTCTAAACCTATTTCGTGTTTTATAAATAGATGATTAATGCAATGTATTAACAATGTTATATGTGTATCATACATGTAGAGCATGCATACAGGTTCGGCCCTAGAGTCTCTAGCACCCCTATAAATTTAAATTGGAAACTTCATTAATAATTTTATTAATTTCTACTCGATCAATTTGTATGAAAAAATCACACAGATATGATGTGAGAATATATGTATTATTTTAATCCCGATATTACGTAAATTGTTTTTTATTAATATAAGGATAGATTTTAAATTACAACACATCACTTCTAGTGATTAATTTCATTTCCCTACAAAGTATATTATTTTAAGTTGAAATTTTTAAATTACTTCTGAAGAGGGCCATCATTGTAGTAGAAAATGTTGGAGAGGAAAACTAATAAATACTCAGAGCTACTCAACACGAATTATTTCTGCTTACTGAGCACTTTTATTAAGCAAGAACTTTTAATCAAGAACTAATTAATTTTTTTAATATCTCTTCATGTTATTTCAGAATAACTTGGGGCCACCGGTTATTACAAATCGAAAACTACATTATACACCGGATGGCAAGGCAGCAAAAGTTTCCGATGCTGTTTCTAAACAATATCCAGTGATTGATCACACTTATGACGCTGTTGTGGTCGGGGCTGGGGGTGCAGGATTGCGTGCAGCCTATGGCTTGGTTGCGGAAGGATTCAAAACCGCAGTGATTACTAAATTATTTCCAACAAGATCCCATACTGTCGCTGCGCAAGGAGGAATTAATGCTGCACTGGGTAATATGGAAGATGACAACTGGCAGTGGCACATGTACGACACTGTTAAGGGATCTGATTGGCTCGGTGATCAAGATGCCATTCATTACATGACTCGCGAAGCCCCAAAGGCAGTCATTGAATTGGAAAATTGTGGCATGCCTTTCAGTCGTACCACGGATGGTAATATAGTTATGAACTATAATTTTTAAGGTGTGCTAGAAAATATTGCATGTTCCTGCCGCTCCTGCCTAAATTTCATTTCCAATGAAATGCGATTTTTACGACGAATTGCATAAATAAAAGAATACTTTGAGTGTGAATCGATTAAAAGTGCCTAACTTATGTAACAAATTGTTTCTTTATTAACTTGTATCTGACATATTCTCGCTTGTTATTGTGCCCGAAGTAACCGAAGTAGCTGTATCACTGTCTGAATCAGTAGCGTATTTCTTCTTGTTATTTCGTTTTTGTTCCTGTATTAAAGATATGCTCATTGTACACTGCTTATCGACACAAAGTTTTATATTGTACAAAGTTATCGTTGCTTTGAATAAATGAAAAATTAACCTTGTTACTTTTCTTTGGCTTTTTGCTATTTTTGGCCTGCTTCCCTGTGTTTTCTTTTTTTTTATGGTCTACGTTTTCGTCCTTTTTATTTTCTGTTCTTGTCTTAGATTTATTTACGTCATCATTCTTTTGTTGATCTTGTCTTTGGCCCTTAACACTCTTGGCTGCATTTATGTATGGTTGTTTTTCTTCAGGAGACATTCGTCTCCATCTTTCACCAGCTAATTTATATATTTTTGAACTTTCCACGTTGGTGAAATCCTGCAAACATTAGATTTTTGTCTGCTGATAGCAAAACGTACGAGTATTTCATTTCCGCGCGAACCTGTCTAAAATCCTGAATGAAATTTATAAAAGCATTGGAACTTATCCATTTCTTAGAGCTTTTTGTACTGATTGGCGATCGAGAACGGGAATGGGAATGTGCCTTTCGATTTTGTTGCGACGATGAACGCGATTTTGAGTTACTTCTAGAAACATGAATGTAACGGTTTATTACCTAGATTAATATTTAATATTTGTGCTTTACCTCTCACTAGACCGATCTTTATTTTTTACAAATTTAGATTTCTCATAATTTTTCCCTTGCCATGCACTATCATCCATAATTAAAATACACACTTTTGACCGTTTAATATCTATACTGGCATTTTATACATTGCTACTGCAAAAATTTACCGCAGCATCGAAACATAAATTATTGTAAATTTTAGGCTGATATTTGAAAATAACAAATCGTATCTTTACAGTTGCCATGCACCTCACACATTGTTATATTTCAACTAATGGCGTGAATGTTGCTCGTACGATTGCAAATCTCTTCACAGCAATATTTATACAAATTCTAAGAATCATCGAAATTATTTCGCGAGAGCAATTTATTCTTTTTATTGCAGGTAAAATTTACCAACGTGCTTTCGGTGGGCAATCGCTAAAGTTTGGAAAAGGTGGACAAGCTCATAGATGTTGCTGTGTGGCCGACAGAACGGGTCATTCTTTGCTTCACACGTTGTATGGTCAATCGTTGAGCTACGACTGCAATTATTTCGTCGAATACTTTGCCATGGATTTGCTCATGGAAGATGGAGAGTGTCGAGGTGTGATCGCACTCTGTCTAGAAGACGGCACGCTTCATCGTTTTCATGCTAAAAATACAGTGTTAGCGACAGGAGGGTATGGACGTGCCTATTTCTCCTGCACATCCGCTCACACGTGTACCGGCGATGGTACTGCAATGGTATCAAGAGCTAATCTACATAATCAGGACTTGGAATTTGTACAGTTCCATCCGACTGGTACGCAAACATATTTTTCATAACGCGTTGGTTATGGTGACTACCGACAACCGGTATATTTACGATATTTATCGTTTTAGGAATATACGGTGCTGGTTGTCTCATCACCGAAGGTAGCCGTGGTGAAGGAGGCTACCTCGTAAATAGCGAAGGTGAGAGGTTTATGGAACGTTATGCACCGGTCGCGAAGGATCTAGCCTCTAGGGATGTAGTATCTAGGTCTATGACTATCGAAATCCGGGAAGGCAGGTAAGTCTTCAATGTCTGAAGCTTCGTTTTTCGAGATAAAATCACTAGAATCAACTGTTAAATAAATACTAGAAACTTCGTGGTCCGTACATGCTCTTTAAGTATCAGTCGCCCGTACATGGGTGAAGTTTTTTTGATATTGCTTCTCGATGTCGTCGACCGAATAAATTGAATAAATTATCGACGAGTCACCGGTTTATTGCTCGCGGGAATTTTTTGTAGACACGGGGCAGAGTTAGGTTAGGTGGTAGGAGTACCATATACAGGGTGTCCGGTCATCCATGGGAAAAATTGTAATGGGAGATTCTAAAGGCCAAAATAAGACGAAAATCAAGAATACTAATTTGTTAATTGTGGCTTCGTTAAAAAGTTATTAACGTTTTTTTGAATGAGAACCACTATCGCGTGTACAAACGAAACTTTAAACGTTAATAACTTTTTAACGAATCCTCGATCAACAAATTTGCATTCTTGATTTTCGTCTTATTTTGGGCTCTAGAATCTCCCATTAAAATTTTTCCCCAGGGATGACCGAACTCTTTACATGATCAATTAGATAAAAGGAACTACAATAGACGACTTTCGTGTTGTGAAAAGGAAAAGGACTCAGGCGTGTGAAATTTTATTTTAAACGATTGTAAAGCGAGGTGTTGAAATTATTTTCTTCTTCAGAGGCGTCGGTCCTGAAAAAGATCATATTTATTTGCAACTGCATCATTTACCGCCCGAGCAATTGGCAACCAGATTGCCTGGGATCTCAGAAACTGCAATGATATTCGCTGGGGTTGACGTGACAAGGGAACCAATACCTGTCCTACCTACGGTACATTATAACATGGGTACGTTTCTTTTGAAATTACGATAAAGGAAACGAAATTAACCGTTGAATATTAAAGTACTGGTACTCGTGATTGAAACGCGTAGGAGGGATACCGACGAATTTCAAGGGACAGGTTCTAACAAGGAAGAACAACAAGGACAAAGTTGTGTCAGGACTGTACGCTTGCGGTGAATCAGCCTGCGCATCCGTCCACGGTGCTAATCGCCTTGGTGCAAATTCATTGTTAGATTTAGTCGTGTTCGGGCGTGCGTGTGCCAAGACAATCGCAGCGGAAAATACGCCTGGAGAAAAAATTGGACCTCTTAGACCAGTAAGTATACATACAGATTGTAAGTGTTATTAATTGTTCGATAATTCCCGTTAACTTTGTTGGTTCGACTATCGTCCTTCCGCGAGAAGAAGGCACAGCGTGTCTGCATCCCCACTCTTGCTTCAGTCCGCTGATTGGCTGTCACGGATCTTCGGTACCGTTTTCGACCAATAGCTGTGAGTCAGAGGACTGCAACAGGAGTGGGGATGCAAACATGCTGTGTCTTATATTTTATTTCTACATAATATGAAAGCATGCACTATATTGAATAACATTATTGCATACATAATGTGTTTTCTTAATATGTTAGAATGCTGGAGAAGAAAGTGTGGCGAATTTGGATTGGGCCAGAAATGCAAACGGTAGCATCGCCACCGCGGATTTGAGATTAAGCATGCAGAAAACAATGCAAACGCACGCGGCTGTGTTCAGAATGGCTGAATCATTGGAAGAAGGTAAAACTTTGAAAATTTCCTTGAAATTTTCATTGCACTAAAGTATTCGAAAAATTTTCTAGGATGTAAAAAGATGTCCGCCCTTTACAAGAAACTGAACGACCTTAAAGTGTCGGATAAGTCCTTGATATGGAACTCCGACCTCATAGAAACTCTCGAATTACAAAATTTAATGGTCAACGCGATGCAAACGATATCTGCTGCTACAAATAGGAAGGAAAGCCGCGGTGCTCATGCACGCGAGGATTTCAAAGATAGACTCGACGAGTACGATTATAGTAAACCTTTAGAAAACCAACAATCAAAGCCAATGGATCAACACTGGCGAAAACACACACTGACAACGATTGACCTCAGAACAGGAGACGTAAGCAATAACCATTTATACTACGTGGTAATGCTATTGGGTTGTTTGGAAAGCAATTTCGTTTCAAAGCTCTGCATTTGAGTTCCACCATGATAGTGCCAGACCTCGTGCAAGTTTAGTAACTTAATAATAGTCAGAAGCTATTTGAGTTTGGATGGGATGAGCTACCACACCCGCTATACTCACCAGGTCCAGCACCATCGGATTATTACTTGTTTTGGTCTTTAAAAAATTTCTTAAACGATAAAACATTTACTCAAAGCGACCAGGAAGATGACAAAAGATGTTGGACCAAAATGACCAATACACAGTTCAATAAAATATTTCTATATAATAAGAAAATTGTTCTTCTATATGTATATCTATACAATGAGAAAAACGAAGTTACTTTCCGAGCAATCCAACAGTTCTATAGTTTCGGTGTGATTTGACGAATTGAAATTACTTTTCAGGTAAAGATCGATTTCAGACCAGTGATAGATAACACGCTAGACAAAACAGAGTGTGCGACGGTACCACCAGCGATTCGTTCCTATTAGATTTTTTCGAAGTAAATATGTATAATTTAGCTATTACTAGCCATCCGTAAAAATTCTTGCTCATCCGACGTTTCATCGAATTGGCCGACCCGTGCGACATCTCATTTCTTTCGTGCACAGGAGAGAATAACCGACGAGGAAAAGTTACCGACCTATCACTACGACGCCAACAACTTATTTATTACGCACGTGAATCGCGTCGCGCACCAAAGTTTGATTCTTGTCAATACTTGCACGCATCGCGAGCAAGATTAGTTGTCCTTGTAGGATAATGGTGCTGAGATTATCTTCATTATTTCAACGAAGAGTTTGTTCGATTGCTTAGCGAACCAATGCTACCTTTATGTAAACTAATAGTAAAATACTAGCGTGATTCAGGCAGCAAATCATTTCACGCACAGATCTTTTATGGAGGAACGTTCTACCTCTACACCCAATTATTTCTGTTCTAGATTCTCAGTCGAGTAATTTGTTTCGTATATAGTTGACGTTGTAAATCGATACGCGCAATCACTAAGGATTATTTAACGGAAGAAGCGTTTTGTACGATCAATTTCGAGCTAGTACTCCCTAAAAAGTTTGTGCAGCAAGAGTACGCCACTTTCATTGCGGCTTATTACTTAACGTTAACAGGCCAATATGGAAACAGCCTTAAAAGCAATAACCAGACTGAATATTTTGTATTGAAAGCTTCTCAGTATTTACTGTCTCGATAATATTTGTCTTTCTGTTTTTTTCTCGTAGTATTATGGAATAAGAGCTGTTTGCGCTAGTTCGAAGTTTCAGTACTTATTTCAGGATTCAATGTTTTTTTTTTTTTTTGTACTTTCGCTGGTAATAAACCTGTTTCTACGTTGCCTGTTAAAATTGCGTACGAATAATTTACCATGTATTGCCTAATATGTGCAAGTGAATAGTCTTGAGAGCGGAAGTACACACACGAAATCGTGTACTTTGGAACAATTCAAAAAAACCGAATGGACATGCTGGAACAGCATGATAAAAAATGTACATAAGATTGTCAATAAAAAGAACATTCGTATAACCTTTTATTCACGAAAATTATTTCTTTTTTTCTGGAAAATATCTCGCGGCGCGTGAAAACGTTTTCAAACGGCGGTGCACGGGTATGTTGATTGTATATAAGCACATATTATTTTATTAATTTTTTTTATTATAAACAACACGTTAAATTTCTGGCGAATATCATTTATTAAACCCATAATTTTTATGTTCTGGTCATAAATAAGAATTTTACGGATTAAATAAAAATTGCTAACCAAAGGTATTTTCTAAAGCATTAAATTAAAGCTCGTCTCGCCTGAGCTAATACTTCAGAAAATGTTACAAGTTACAGTTTAATTTACATGAGCATGAATTTGATGAACATGTCCTTACATACGAAACATTATACGACCAAAGAATACAGATATGTTCAAATGAATCGCGCTCGAATGTACAATTGTTTAGGGAAACTAATACGCACACGTCCTGATTCTCGCGTTAAGAAGGAAGTGGTAAAAATTTGAAAAATAAATTGGCACCAACATAAATGCTCACTTTTAAAAGTAATTCTTCTTGCGCGTAAGCTACCGTAAATATTATCTTGGCTAGAACTGAGCAGAAACGCATTAGACTGGAAAAGACTGTACGCGACGATTTCATGTGCATTTTAGTTCGTTTCTACGGATGAATTTAAAATCGTGTTTACATCAGTAAAATTACCGCCGACACGATCGATTAAAAACCGTAATTTCCTTTTTATCGCAATCGTATTTATCAATAACTCGTAAAAAGAAGTTTTAATTTTACATTTACTAGCTTCTACTTTTTTTAACTGATATTATCCCCCAGTTCTGCTTCTTAGGCTAATTTCGTGTCTCTTGGCACTTAGCACCAACTTTTTGAAATGCAATCGTAGACAAAGACGCACCTCGTCGAATAATCACACGAATGTTTCGCATTTTTGTATGTTTTGATTGTACACGTTCGAAAAAGTTTCTCATTTGCAACTGAATTTGAATATTTTAGATTAATGGTGTTTTTTTGTTTCATCGTAAACGCGGTACGTTTGTTTCTCTACGAAAAACATTTTTCCTTACAAATTTCACCTATTATCAGTCTAAATACTCGATTGCATTGGATACATATCCTCGAAAGATACATTTCTTTCGGATTTTAAAGTAAAAATTTAGCTACTAATTTTGATTCAATTGTTATGTACATTGTATCAACAATTATATATGCTACTGTACCTCGAATCCTTGTTTTTGAAATCCATGTTCGTACAGGTGGAAGAACAGTTGTTTCGAATTTCAATTTTGCATCAAATTTACCTAACGAAACAGACTCGTTTCTTTTTAATCGCGTAAAATGTTACTTAGAACTCGAACGTTAAACTTTACACTTCTTCGAGACCGAATTTATACAACTAAAAAAGGTCTAAAATGTAATTTCTCATTACAAGCTAAACATGAAAGAGATCCGTGGGGTCACGGATCCACAAAACGCGACGACATATATTTCTGAAGCTATATTACTTTTCACTCACTGCATCTCAACCATTTCGTGCAAGTATTTCGCAGTTACTCTTGTCAAAATTTCGTAACGGATCCGTGGCGACTAAAGCTACAGCGCCACCTGCAATGTAACCCAGACCGTTCAGACTGAAAGATCGTAAGAAGGAAAGTTTCAAACAATTTTATCCGTACAACCATTAAACCAGTGTCAACAAAAACGTGACTACCAACCAAATTTTATTTTTTCCCAAAACTGCATGCAGTTCTAAAAAAAATTTATCCAGACCGGGCCGTTTTAAATGCAAAAATCAATTTTTGCCAATCGTACCGAATACGTTTCTACGAGAACCGCTATATAGAAATCAGATCGCGCGGGTAAAGTGTGCTCTTGCCAGAGATTTGTACGCTCCGAACGAAATATAATTCGAGATTTGCACAACGCGCGGGCACATTGCACGCGGTGTCATCGACGTTCCACGAATTCCAAGAAGCTATCGCCAACACCCATTGTTATTCACGCGATAGGCTATATACGCTCCAATCGGGGGAGCCAGCGTTCGCGATGAAAATGGCGGTGGTCGTTTCAGCCTCTTGAGAAAGGATTCTACCAATCGAGCGTTCGCGGCGGTGCGTCGTCGAAAGAGGGAGCCACGGGAGAAGAACGATTTTCACTGCGGGTTTGGTTTTCGTCCATATCCATTTCTCTCCTCCTCAGGAACATAATGTTGTATCAGCTATGCAATCAGAATCCACATTCACACGTTTCCGACTCGCACGATGGTGGTGGGGTGACACTATATGGATGGTGATGGATTAAGTCTTGTGCTGAGTGACGGTACACGACGTCTCTCTATGCGTTTGTCCGTCGAGCACCGTTCACGAGGTGGCTCGTAATTTTTCCAACGCTGGCACCAGCGACTCCTCGAGGGAAGGACCGCAACTGAGCCCGCATTCGCCGATCCATCTTGCTTTGCCGCTGGCGTGAGACTGCAACAAAAAAAAAACGAAAAAACCGTTAAACTTACGCGCACAAAATGTACTCGTTTCATTGTGTTAAGAATTTATTAACTAAGAGACTAAATTCGTGTCTAGACCGATCCTGTGAAATTTTTAAACAACGTAACTTAAAATTTGTTTTAGAATTAACCTCATTTCGGGAGACTAAGAAACGTCGACGATTCTGGCCGTAAGAATAATATATGTAGATTTAATGTAAAGCTTAATTGATGAGCTTGAAAGGCAATATGGATTTAAATGATAAATATATGTCTAATTTATTTGATAAATGGCCAGTATTCAATTTGGTGGCCGCCGTATCGATAGATATACGTAACCCGATCCATTATATCGATAATTGGACCATATTTGTACCACTTTAGAATATTAACCCTTAACTGATAGGGTAATGTATTTTAACACCTCTACTACGTTTTACTTTTATTTAATATCGTGACCTACTTGTTTTATATACTGCACGAAATAAAGACAATTATAAAAATAGGTTGTGGTTCGATACTTTTTATTTATTTTACTTATCTCTGAATATTGATTAACCAGAGATTATAAAAGTTCTATTATTGCAAGCTGACATTAAGTTCAGTCGTTATCGACTATTTCGCCCGACCGGCTTCATTTGACCTTATCACGAACAAGGCAGTTAGTAAGACGACCTTCGTGGTAATATGGGGATATTGTAAATGTCATTCGTAAAATCGATAAGCGCAAACTATTGGCCTTCTTCGACGTAACGTCGAATATCGGTTTAAAATTGTAACTGATTTTTGCTTTTTCGAATAGATACCGTTAAATGTTCGTTCGCGTTTATATTTCAATAGATATAATATCGATTTTCTGAAGCAAACAAAACTGATTCTTTGTGCTTGAAGTAAAACCGTTCGAGATCGCGAAACTTGAACGAAAAGCTTGTCGAATCGAGAAAGGAACGCGGCCGTTATTCGATCCGTTTAAAACATTCGAGGACTCGGTTTGGCTCGTTTTTTTCTATGCGCTCGGAGATAAGACTACTTGGAAAGCGTCGGATCGATGGAAGCGCAAAAAATAGATATTTACCATGGTAAGGTCACGTTTCCATGCGGTGTGGCAACGTCCGTCACAAAGTGGGCACGGTCGTTGAAGGGAATAACCACCACATTCACTGCAGTCGAGAGATACGTGTTCTTCGCTCCATGAAACCCCGCATCTGTAAATATAAAGAAAGTTTTTGGTTAGAAAACTTGATACTCTTCTCTTTCCAACGGTTACAAATAACGCGGGAAGTTTGGATCTTCTAGCACCAGGACTGTATCTTACAAGAGCCTTTTTATCCTGTAATTTCTGACGTGCAATCTGTATCTATTCGATATATTTATTTGAGGTTATTTGAAATCACTTATAATAAAAACAATGATACGAAGCCATAGCTGATTTATTATAATATTGAGGCGAGGTGTACTTTATTATCTTTAATGTAAAATAGTAAAATATTCATTTGTCGCATATAATATACTGTTTATATACATCGAATGTAGTTTCTATTATTTTGCATGTTCGTTATAGCCTTCGAATACCCTTACTCCTATAATTATAAAGCCAGAATGTGGAAGTAATTATAAAACCGATAGGTTACGGAAATGTCTTAAGTTCAACTACGACCAGCGCTGCTTCATTCGAGTTTGCGAACACCATACATTCTCTTAAAGCCACATTGAAGGTGTAGTTCATTAACAACTGCTAGATTCCTATTATAACAATTTTGCAACTCGCGATAATCGTATCATGCAGTTTCTATTTCACTATGTGAACAAAATAACATCTGTTCTTCAATGTGCACGATAGTCGAACGAAAATAATGTATTTTCTACCATTTAAATAAATAAATTACTATTGTTATTAAACATTCATTCGAATTATAGAGTTCAACTTACGAACAAAACTAAAACTATAACCGAAACATTACATTAGGATATCGAAGAATAATCTTCCTTTCCTAGTATTTTTTATTGCAAAGTTTTCAATAAGCTAAAGGAAGTTGGTAATCGGCCATTGTGGTGGTGCATGTGCGCAGAAAACATTGCGCAGCGAAGCGGCTAAGTCGCGTCGTGTTGTCCCCGTGTGTTTACAGTTGCATGAACACGTGTGCCAAGAACGTTTTAATTCAATTTCTATCTTTTTGTTCCCGTTGCGCTGCAGAAAGCACACAGAAATAACTCTTCTATCAATAAATATTCGTGGTCGACGATTATAACCCGAAAACAATAATATTTCACGATCGCTTTCGAACGAGCCCCCTAATTGGATCCGAACAGCACGGATTTCGCTCGGCCGTAGAAACGTTACGATTCCCAACTATCCTCTCGCGCGAATGACGCAGAATTAGTTTCTATTGAAACAATGAACTCTGGGAATAACGGAGTTTAAACCGGATTTCTCCGCTTAATGTGCAGTCGACGTCTAAAACGAATTTAATCATCACGGTTCTGGATCATATCGGATTCTATTGTTGACTCGACAAATTGCGGGGCCGAGTTCAAGCCTGTGTAACACGCGTAGATCGTTCTCAGGATCGTTATTATCGGTGGTATTGTACAGGCTGCGTCACGCACTTGTCATTCGAAAAATTACGAGATCGATAGTTTCTCTTTGAATAATTGGATGCTAACAAATTAAAAGTCTGCCGTAGCAAAACGTTCGAGACTTGTTGAAAGTTTGAAAAGCTATAAAGAATTCAAGATCGTTAAGGCCAATCAAGGCAACGAGACCGTCTATATTCGAGTAACGTTCGAAACGATTCGAAACTGACGTCACAGGGTTCGAAGCGACTCTATCCGGTTTTGAAGCCCGCCGCTAGATGTATCTCTCGTCTCGTTGCAGATAGAAAATAATGGCGGAGGTCAAAGTTGCATGGGTATATCGAAACGTATCTTTCGGTGACCTTATTTTTTTTTCCATTAACAACGATGCACCTCCAAAATACGACTGCATTTTTCTTTTTATTTTTATTATCCGTCTCGTCTTTTTGCGTTGATAAACTATTAGTAAATGATGTTACTTCGTTCCGATATTTGAACACACGGTATCGACAAGAAAAATCGATCTATTCGACGAAGAATAAATGATTTCATTTAAAAGACAAGTGCAATTGTACTTTGCAAGTGCGTCATCATATTTATGAAACAAGCGAGATAATAAGACGACAGACCTCGTTATACTATTCTACTTATTTGTAACAGTTCTTTTTTTTTTTAATTGTCTTCGACGAGACGTTAAAAACCAATTCGTTTCGATCGCGTGACGTACCCTGTGTACGAAACAAATACACAGCTAGTCGAACGAGACGATAGAAATCATGCAAGATTTTACGACGATTAGGAGCCTGAGAGCAGAGACTATAATTATTGGCCTATATAAAAATTATGTAAATAGGAGGGGGGCCAGCCGGGTTAATCGTTTCTGATAGCGTGTATCAGTTGTTTCTTTTATCAAGCTTTTATAAAATACGCTAACGAATGTGTTCTTGACGCGACAGATAAGCAACGTGCTGAAATTACATCGTCTTTTAATATTTTGATCATTTTATTTCGAATTTATTACTAATTTATTTCCAATTGTCATAGGAACTTGTGCAATTTAAAAACCATAGCAAACCAAATGATACAAAAGTCTTCGTTTTGTTGAAAATATTATGCATATATTTTGCAATATTACTTAGAATTATTTTTGGTAAAAAAAAAAAAACGAAGATATTTTGTTGAATTTAATAGCTTGGCTGGTTCTTCCTATTCTAAATCTATCTAAATACTATTTTGTGATTATCAGTTAGAACAACTGAATTCGCTTTCTATAGTTTAAATATCATTTAAATTTAATTGTCCTAACTGATAGCGCGATTCAGATGCGAGGTAGTCGAAAACGAGGTCGAATTTAAAGCGTAGAAAATCATTTTTTTAATTTAAATTTTGTATTGTGATTTTTGCTTTTACAAAGTGCGGCCAAACTGCTTCGAATTCTCGGATTGTTGCCCGTTTCTTTCTCTCGTTTTACTGAATTTACGGTTTAACGTGTTAAGGTTCAATTCCGTGGAAGAAGTTTCTCGAACCTTTTTAACCATCTCAACTATAGTTCGACCGAAACAGCAGCTTGGCGTGATAGAGACGGAGGAGAAAGGAATCGTGAACATTGCGACACTCACGTGAAGCAAGAGTTCAGTTGAGCACGAAGTTCCTCGATTGTAAGGATCGTATCCTGGTATTGTGGATGGGATCCTTGGAGGCCATCGTCGACACTTCCGCACAAACTATGACAGGACAGAGAGATGTTGCTCCTGCAATCCAACAAAAAAATTCAACATTAATATTTTTAAAACAAAAATTTAAAAAAAATTTAAAATAAAAAATAATAATTTCGTCTATTTTATAATTTTCATTAATTTCGTTTAGTTAATAAAACTACAAAAAATTTTAGTTTTTGAATTTTAGAATTTTAATCACTTTCAATTAAATTTTACGAGATATTTATTAATTTATTAGTCGAATAATGAAAATTCCCAATGTCTGCACGTTTTCAATCGCAAAATTATTTTAAACTGCAAATATGTTAAGCAGTGGGAATTAGAATGAACGTCGTCGAATATTATCGTCGAGTTTACATATAAAAGGAACGATATCGGAGAAAACTAATAAAGATATCAACGTTCGTTTTGCAATGCTTTCGCGATATTTACGAGAAAATATTAGCGTTAACGTTTAATCGCTAAAAATTGCTTCGAATAATTTATATAAAACGAATATTTTTTTTTTTAAATTAAAAAATAAGCAACAGTAGAAGATATCGTCTCGGTAAAATTCCAGGGGATAACAGCGAAGATACCCTATAATCAGTTATAAAGAAAATCTTATCGAAAACCTCCTAACGCTCGTCGAGCAACTACAAATAAATTAACGATAAATTTTCTGATGGTTCGCGACTCTCTGGAAGGTCGAGTCTGATCGAGAGGAACAACCTTGGCCACATTCGACCGTTAAACCCGGAAGAATTCGATGTAAGATTGTTTTTTGCGTTTTTACACCGACCGTTACAATGTTTGGGGGAATTCCGCTCGCGTCGACCGATACATATAATCGTGTATATTTGCACAAATCACAGTGGGGGCACAAAAGTTTTACCATTACGTTTGCTTATGTATCTAGTATACGCAAAAGAAAGCAAAGGGACCATTTTAGACATTTATTTTTATTTAACGTCTTTATTACACACGAATAAAAATTCGTATTTTCCTTGCGCAAAACTGAAGATTCTTAAATTTTAATTACAGTTGTATTTGTTTTTTGAAAGGATTTCGTTTAAATTATTTTCATCTGCTTATCTCTTTTGGGGCTTAACGCGTGAAATTTCGCGTTTATCAATGAACAACCTGATTATCATAAAAAAAAAGAAGGAAAAACCAGCAGATAAACGGGGTCATTAACGTATCAACTGATAGGAATCTAGCAAGGATATCAGTCGAACTGAATTCTTCCACTGTCTTATCGTGTTTCTACATACATGATCCGGCATCAATTTTCACGTGATTGTTCTTGGGAATGGGACAACCAGAGGAGACAGAATGGTGGATGATGTACGAAGTACGAGCGCGATACTAACGTGGCAGCCGCGTTAAATATGCAGGTATGGAAATCAGGAAGAAAAACGTTCCTTTCACGTGACCACGACGTGAACAAGCACGTAATAAGCCGCTCGTGCAGAATGACGTATGTGTGAGGATGACGCGTAAATCTTGGAATCGGCGAGCGCAAACCAGGCTAAACTGTCTTTATTTTTTTTTTATGTGCAGCGGCTCGTATCTCTTTTTTAATACTCTGCAAACATTCGAGAAATCTAGGAAAGACTGACGGCATCGACAAGGAAAAAAAAAAATAACTAGTGGCGCCCAAGAGATCTCGGATCAATTTAAACGAAATAATTTGTTTTGCTATTAATCGTTCTTCAAAGATGCGATAAAAATTGAAAACGAAATCGCGTTCGTGGTTTTTTTTTTTTTACAAAATAGATCTATTTTTCTGGAATGAATAAAATTGTTTTTAATAAAAATTTTCTTTAATGATGAGAGAAATAGATAAAATTAAAAAGTACGAAGATATTTGTTCTACAGGTGTGTTTCACGATAACGGCGAGACAATGTCAGCGAAGATTCTAATCGTAATGTATTTCTCACCGCGTCATCAATTCCTTTTTCACCTTTGGAATTACAGATTGCGAATTCAAAAGTATACGATTTGAATATTTAACGCGTAGCTCTCAAGGTTTTTTCATTGAACGGGGAAAAATTTGTCCAAAATATTGAACGTTGAACTCGAGTGGTAACACGTTGCACGTAACATTTGTGGGTTGTCAACTCTGGGGGAAGAGAGATCAACAAATGTAGGATTATATTTGTTACGTAACGTTTTAAATATATTCTTCAGTCAATTAATTTCTCTTTTTGATCGAATGCATACGTTTTAGCGACACAATTTATTTTTGCAATATTTTTTGCACTATTAAGAACATATGCGCAACATATTTGAGGTTATGTTACTTAATGTTGCGTAATTATGTCAATATAAAGGATTTATGAGATTCGACAATATTCGTAATATTATGTTACATAATAAGTAAGAGAGACTATTCTTGAAACTATTCGTTTTTGTTTACAAATTAAAGCTTTAAATATAATTGGAATCGTAAAGAAAAATTGTATATTTTTCTCATTCGCGTCTTAAATGCAATATAATGGAAGAAATAAAAGACTTCGATACGATGGAAACGTAGATCACATAATTACGAAGTTTTGAGGTTAGTTTCGTGTCATCTCATACGTGCTATCCGCGGTGATACGTGAAACATGATTCTTGATCTAGCTACGAAACTTTTAACCGAGTGAATGTTGGTATAAGTTAGTTCTATTTGTTACCTAATATTTGACTAAATTTTTTCCCTTTTTTCCCCCAGATTTTCAAACATGCAAATGTTACTTGGTTAAGAAATTATTGGAGAACTTCAAAGATCGATTTGTGTTTACATTAGGGGTTAGGAAACGTTGTTTTAATATTTCAATCTAATTTCCAGGTTCAAGAAATGAAATTTCAATGAAAACAAATTGTATAAAAAGTATGTCGAGGGTAAAATTTGAATGGCGTTTGCATGCGTAGTATCTGTGTGGACATTGTCCATGAACGAATAGTAACACAGAATTCCTTCACAGAAACTCTACGAATTGATTTACACGTAGGTTACGATCACATTTTCTTGAATATCGACACAATAGACAGGGGAAAAATTGTATAAAGCGTTAAAGTCTTTCGATTGGTGGACTGACATAGGGTGACTGCCAATTGGTAGAATATCGCGCCGTTTTATTTTGCCAATCGAACGTCTGGTGGCGCCATAAGTCCAGCGTGACCTCGCGACAGCTTTTTTGCTCTCCATTTAAAGTTGACAAAGGAAAATTATTTGCATGTTAAAATAATAAAATAAAAATAACAAATATCGACAGCGAACGTCGAAACGAATTGTTTGAATCCGCAATACCGTGATATTTATGTACACGCCGGAAAGTTAATTTGAATACATTTCGGAGGAACACGTTCTTCCGTTTCTTTTCGAGACTTTCGTGCCCCAGGAAGTTAGGGTTACGCAACCACGTTCGCGTGTGCCCTTTGAACCGTATTGAGCGTGAAATTAATTCACGCAACACGTGCACCATTAAATGGAAAATAACGCGACTATGGACGCTAAAGGATAAAGCCACTTTGTCTTTCTCCGTTCCCCGCCAGAACTCGCTCAGTAATTTCGAGAATTTCCGGTCTACGTTAACTATTAATTAACCGCGACGAAGTTAACGACGCGACGGCGACGTGAAACTCGTTGACGTCGACGTGTGAAAATCAAGATGGATCGAATTTTGTTCGAACAATAAATAACGAACAAAGTTCTCCGCTCGTGTAATTAAATAGTTGTTCGGATAAATTCGTGCAATTGAAAACGATGTAGGTTACCCAAGTAATAAACGAAATTATAGAAACGTGTCATGGAGAAAGTATCAGCATTGATTTAGAAGGTTCAAGGAAAGTGAATATAACCTCAAATGAAGGGAAAGGCCCATCGCGGACTAGAAAGTCGAGATTAAATCAGATTCGAAGAATCTAGCAGTCAAGTTTAAAATATCATCATCGACTGGCCGTACGGGGCTTGCGCGGAATAGGAAAAGTGAGGAGAAAAGAAATTTGAATTCTTTCGCACGCTCTCAATGACGAACAACTTTCCTTCGAAACCAGTTACATGCTTCTTACAAATATTTGACGTTTGAAAAATAGAAATGGAACCGATAAACGAGGTCAGCGCGCGTGCCGTTCGAAACAATTAGAATATCGTATTTGCAAGATGGGTTCTGAAGCGCCGAGGAGGCATATGCGCAGGTACGTGTGCGCAGGACCATTGCAAGACAAAGGTCACGTGACCCTGGGCGCCATATTGCGTGGATGTCAACACACAACTTTCAAAAGTAAAGAGCATCAACACTCGTTAGACTTTAGAAGAATTCTTTTTACATTTTTATCTTAATAACATTAGAAAATCTCAATCGTATTGATCTACTGAACTTTATGAACTATTTTGTATTCTCGATAAAAAAGAAGGCAACCTTCCCACCCTTTGACCTTAACGCACCCTCGTCTCAAGGTTCATGCAATACGACGTAAGGTCACGCGCCACCCAAGTCGCGTTCAATCAATGTTGTAATTTTCAGATGAAATGCGATCTCTAAATAAGTTTCGACTTTGCGGCGACACTTTCAGGGCGGCCATCATAAACAGATATACCGTTCGCTCCCAAGTATTAATAAATCAGTTCCTCAGATCGACTTGACCTTAATATCTATTAAAAACGTACTTTTTTTTTGTTATTTATATGTTAGAGACGACTCGAATTCTACCACGCGAGATTTTATAAGCAGTTACAAGTGAGACGCAAAACAATAGCTGGTTTAAATCGGACGTCTGTTACGAGATATCCTTGCTTCCGCTTTTAAAGACGTCCTTCGTGGTTTCTCAGGCGCAGTGGCGTAACGAGCAAAGGCGCCACACGCCACGTGCCCGGGCATTATGCAAAAGCGACGCGACTGCTGCGAATAATACTGCACTAAGAGCATTTCTTCGAATAGACCTTCGGGCTATATACCGTTCCAAGCGTTATATAGATTCTTTGGCGAGGGAGAATCGCCATCAGACGGTTTCATGGTTCTCGCAAATAAATTGGCTGCGACGAAAGCGGATCGATAAAACGAAACAGTATCGTAGCTATCTGCGTTTCATGTATCGCGCGGTCCAAATAAAGCGTTACGAGCTGTTTTCTCAGAAATGAATGAAGATATCGACTTCGTTTCTCATCAGATTAAACGATCTGGCGTGGGCTAATCTTTTCACGAGCAACAAACTATTTTAATGGGCCACCACACGGTACGTTTCGTTGCTTCGGGTTCTCTTATTTCGTGCCAAGTGATGAAACACGAAACAGTGTTATTATTTTCTTTGTCGAACATATTATGATTAAATTCTTGTTTTAAATATTTCTTAAGTGAAAATAGTATACGATTTAATGATACATAAATAGATAAAATAATAGTGTGAAAATTCTAAAAATGTAACTAAATATCGGGATATTAATTTGGATAAATTTCGGTGGATGTTGCTTTATTTTGATTTATTTTATTAAGATTTCGTAAACAAGGAAGGGACTTACCCATGGCGAGAAAGGCTCTCGGTGGCAGGTTGCACGGATGTGGTAACGGACATGTTGTTTTGGTGAGATACAACTGAAACATACAAATGAGGAAAAATCAATTATTGGAATCGAGGAATCCCAGAAAGAGCTTCAGGTAAACAAGACCCGAGCTGGGAATCCCCCCGACGGCTAGATATATATCATAGCCGATGGACACGCGCAGTATGTATATGGCACACGATGGCGCAAACTACGAAGGACATCCGCGTAATAAGTTTCACCGTGGATCTCACCTTGGCACGAAACGAGCACTGTTACTTTCTCCGCGAAAGAAAGCCGCGCCACGATTGCAGGACACGCTCTGAATCTGTTATTTTGACGAATCGAAGTCACTTCAAACGTAACAGATTGTGTAATCTCGATGGGACACTTGTCCCCTAAGAAGAGGCTGCTCAAGTACCAAACTGTATTCTGGTTCTTATAGTTGTATTTGTAAATCATTGGAAAATTTTGTACAACTTTTTTTTAAACAAGTGGAAGCAAATGAAATAATATGGAAGGAAGGAAAATGCAAATTTTCTGAGACGTATAAAGCTCGAAGTCCAATTGACAATCTTCAGGTTTGATAAAACTTATGACATAGAAACGTACATAGTTTTCCATTTGCGGCAAGATGGAGCAAGAAGTGGAGCAAAAAATACACTCAAAGAAGCAATTCCATCAAAAGCAAAAAGATACAGCAATTATATGTATAAAGATGGAGATCGTTTCCATCGAGACGAAGGTCGTTTCAAAGCAAAAACTGAACACGAATGCGAGTGGTTAATGGCACGGAAAATATGTAGATTCGCATCAAAACGAGGTTAATATGTTTATTTATTGTATGATATTCATGCACAAGAGGCGAATATCGTCTTAAAAATTGAAAGTTAAAAGTTAAGATAAACTTTGGAATTAGAACAAGAAAACGAAATTAGATGCTTATGGGAATTGTAAAATCGTAAGAAATAATTTTTGATAAGCTGGTTCTTATCCCACGAATATTAATATCAGCCGGTGGAAAAAACTCGTCGTTTAATATTTTTCCATGCTTTATCTGTGCATCAAATTTCATAAAAATCGGAGATTGTGAATTGGGCGATGTTCCTTGTCAGTCGAGATATGTAGGTGAAATTTGATCTCCGTTATCTCTCATGCTTGCTCGCCTTTGCAGATAGCAGGACCGAGCGTAAGGAACGGCGAGCGCAAGCGAGAAAGATCGAGATAGAGTTACACGCTCCGAGCATTTCTAGGAAATTGTAGGGCTATTTTTACGATCACTTTTTAGGAGGAAAAAAGTTCCAACCAACCGTTTAAGAAATACTGTACTACAATTTTATACAAGGGCACTATTATAGAATTATTTAAACATTTCATAAATTCCCGTTGATAGTTACAAAAATGTTTATTTTTAAACCCAAGAGAAAACTTTATTGGTTCATCGTCCTGGCATGTAACTTTTTTGTAAACACGTAACTGCTATACTGAACTAAAATACTGATTAATATTTCATGTTCAACTGCATGAATCATTTCTGCAATTACTATAAGATAAGACAACTTCAGATTTCTCGTAACTCTTTACATTTCTTTGCCAAAGGCAGTGGTTGATATCATGTACTAGTTTCCCACCTTGCTTTTCTTTTCTAAGAATACCACCCAAGGCTTTCGCGTGACTTCGTGATAATGAAACCCCGTTACGAATTGCCAATGTGTCAATGATATAAATCTTTGACATTCTGTCACGACCTTGAATCGATAGAATGCTTTGTAATTACCGTTATAATTCACATTCATATTCTTCTCTGTATAACTGATCCAAATTTAATATTCGAACGATTCACTAATACGAATAACTACGATTTGAGATTTTTAAATATAATACACGTTTCACAGAACGAAGAATAAAATATCGTTCGTTCGAAAATAAATATACGGTTGCAATTTTAAAGTATAATTTCTGGAATTTTAATTCGCGAAGAGCTATTATTCGTTTCGATCCCGCTGATAGATAGAAAGAAAGCGAACGGAGAACAAAAGCGGGGTATTTATTCGCCGGATTATCTCGTCAGCGGCGCAACGCCATGAAACCGTAATTCCAAAGGTAGGATGAAACGTTTACGTAACGGGCTGCAATTTCATTGGTAAAAGAAAAAATTAGGCGCAGCCTCAATTTGCACAACTAAATGCAATCGAGCGCAACCACACCGGCTCGAAAATAAATGCAATTCCCATTAGCCGTCGACGACCTAATTTCCTCCGGTACCGTTTGTGTGCGTTTGCTCGTCGAACGATGAACCCGAGAATTATTACCTAACATCGCCATTTACGAGCATTACGAGCATTGATAATGACATTGGTTACGAACACGCTGAGTATTTTCTATTTAATACAACTACGTAGAAACGAACGATTGAGAAATATTTTGAATTTTTTTTTTAGTAATTTTTAAAATAGCGAAAACTGTTTTGTAATAATTCTGTGCTTCCTGCGATATGATACTTTTAAGTGGTTCGGGGAAAACACGCGCGAGAAATATTATGCGCGTGAAAATGTATTATTCACGGGAAAATTGATAAAGTAATTTTAGTACGGGCAACAATCAACGTGACTGTTTGTAGAAACAAATTCGAAATATTCCAGGGAAAATTAGCTGCTTTCGTTCGACGATTGTTTTTTTCAACAACCGTGCCCACGCGGTCGTTAATTCTGGATTGAAATTAGAGCGAGAGGATCGCCGTGAGTCGACCGGGGCGCCGACAAGGAGGACACGAATAAGGGATATATTTTCTCACGTGTCTCTGTACTGCTTCTGAAAGCATGCATTAGTAATACAATCGTAAAAATAGACCACTCTAAAGATACACGGATTATTTTTAACGCCGCGCATAAAACGAATATTGTTCTATAATCTCCGTTCGTTAAGTTTTCATGTACAGACGCGTTTGATCGATCAAACCGTAGGCTTTTTATAGACCATTGTCCTTAACGGTCGCGACCACAAAATACAATCGTTAAACCTCTGGCTTCGCCGATAGAACTCGTCTTGGTCGCCGTGACGCGGCCTTGAATTCAACCGCAAAAGGGAGAATGTATCGATCTTATCAAATTTACTTCGGCTCGACCAGTCAATGGATTTTCAATACTTAGCGCGCCTCGTTCAAACCGTTCACACGCAAAAAGCTCAATCGTGGGTGAAATTTTCAATGAAACCTTTCTGTGACGCGATCTAAAAAAAATATGACGTCGAACGAAACGATGACGTAGCTGATAGATTATAAACTGATAGATTTTGATGACGCTCCTGGGATTAGACAGAAAATTTCATTTTAAATCCTTGAACAAAACATCACTTAATTTAGCGATCTTTTATTTCAATAAAACACAACTAATATTTTGTCCATTAAATTGTATCAATCAAAATTTGATTTTAAATTCTTAAACGAAACTTTGCTTAATTTAATGATCTTTTATTTCAATAAATCGCAACCAATATTTTGTCCATTAAATTGTATCAATAAAAATTTGAAGTTTGAATTAGAAAATTTGATTTTAAATTCTTGAACGAAGCATTACTCAATTTAGCGATTTTTTATTTCAATAAAACACAACTAATATTTTGTCCATTAAATTGTATCAATCAAAATTTGATTTTAAATTCTTAAACGAAACATTGCTTAATTTAATGATCTTTTATTTCAATAAATCGCAACCAATATTTTGTCCATTAAATTGTATCAATAAAAATTTGAAGTTTGAATTAGAAAATTTGATTTTAAATTCTTGAACGAAGCATTACTCAATTTAGCGATTTTTTATTTCAATAAAACACAACTAATATTTTGTCCATTAAATTGTATTGATAAAAATTTCAAGTTTGAATCAAAGTTGTGTAATTTACTGAATTGTCAATTTTTTTCACGGTCTGGGTTAGGTCTGGAATCTAAGAAAATAGTATCCAGGAGTCGACTAGCAACGTATAGCGGGAAAGGGTTAAGCTCAGGAGCGAACATCCAACGACTTTTGCACCTTTTGCTGCCGTCGCGCGATAGCTACCAAGATTAGCTTCGAGATACGTTCGCCTCTTTCGGTTCTGTCGGTTTACAAGGAAAACGGGTTCGCGAACCGTTGGCAAGAATCCCGAGACGGTTAGGCGAGTCCACGTGATCCCGTATTTTTATTCTGCCGCAGCACGAGAATAGAAGAGCGTTAAGAAAGGGGTATGCCAGTGGCGAATAGTATGCGCGTATGTACCAAAGTAGTCTGAGGTCGGATAGTCTATGTTCGGGCCATGGCGCGTCCTCCTCAAGTGCGAAACTATATGGTGATTCTATTTAACCTTTAATACCGACGTATCCGGTCTGGCACGTTTGACCCTCTGCCCCCCCACGTTCGTGAATAATCGATATTTTCCCTCCTTAACCCTGGGAGGTTGTATGTATCTCGTCGAGCCCCTGGGTCCTGGGATCACTGGACCCCCGAACCCCGAAACAAAGAAAATTAACCAGGGACGAATCTACCCACGAAGCACTCTTAGCCCTCCCCCAAAGCAAGTGACTCCTTATTTCTATTTTAATTTAATTATAATAACGATACTTGTCTTCATCGTTTTGTAAACATTAAGAAATCAATATTCGAACGTGGATACGTTCAAAAGAATATTCGAATAATCCATAATGTATTTCGTACTCATTGTAACAAAATTCATATCGATTTCGATTACGCGCGATGAAACAGTCGGTATTTATGCGTAACCTTTATGCACAAGACTTCGAGCACGGTATATTAAGCGATCTGAATTCGTATCCATCTCCAATTCCAATGTATTTTAAGTCCACGCGATGCGTGCATGCGCTCGAAAGTGGAACGTGAGCACGAAGCAAATAATCTGGGGTCACGGTACAAATGACTAAACCCCGAGATATTTAAAACCGTGAAAACGGTATTAAACCTCGTAAATTATGTTGCGAGTTACAAAACAAGAACTCGTATTAATTGCCACTAAAAATTATGATCCAATCGGGAACCAGGATATCATTCTTGCGATCGCGAA